CTTCGGGTGACTATGATACCTCTAGTTGACCATACTATTGTTTCAATTTATGAGATTCTTAGGTTTTGCCTTTGGGCGGCAATATTCCCATTACTGAGCACTATTTTACACGTACTTGTTTTATGAACGTTTTTCATGGCATGCTAGAGTTTTCAACAAACCTACTGTGTAGTACTATATGTGTTTTCAAAACAAGGGATTAATATGTTTATAAATAAAATGGTTTTCTTATTATTATAGTATTAGTATTATAAAATTTAGTCCACTCACCCTTTGTTTTGCGCCCCCTTTAGGAGTTAGAATCGAGGCATCTGATCCTGGTGTCAGGGCACTTCGGCATAGGTATCTTTGAGTCTTCTCTGTTTAGGACCCATTCCTTTGTTCGTATCTTTTTATAATAATTCTCTCACATTATTCTTAATTAGTTGTATGCTCTAACACGATTCTGCATTAATGTATTTCTTTCTAATTACATATTTTAATTGTATGCATGTTTAAAATAGCTTCGTCATCCTCGGGTGTCGGCCAACGCGTATCTAACCTGATATTTAGAAATATCAGAGTCGTAGTGTGTCAACACTAATAACAATTTTCAATAAATAAAAAATTGACTAATGAAACAGACATGTAAGTTTATAAGGTCGAACAAAGAATTGAACTAATATCATTTTGGTCCACAAATTGTAGAAGGGTTAAATTATAAAATATTTAGTTTTCCGACTAAAAGTTAGATGACTCATTAAACTTAGTCACTTGAAGGCATTTAAAAACAGTGGATTAAAAATTAAACCACCAAAATACTCCACTACTTGTTTTAAAATAAAATACTTTAAAAGAGCTTAAAATGACAATATGCAAATATAGATTTACAATGTACTTTTAGAGAATTGCTATTTTTTCAACAAACGATAATATTTATACTAAGAGAGAAGTGGTGAGTTTAGCCTAATTAACAATACTGTAGTTCAAACTCGCATTTGCCAAGAATCGAACCTAAAACCTCTCACTTACAAGTGAAGAGGAATATCACTAGTACTAAGTAGTTAGAGAACTAATTGACCAAAAAAAAAAAAAAAGTGGCTAGCGAACTACTACTCATAAGTGTATTTTTCTTTCTAATTATAGAAAGTTTAAAGTGCAAAATGAGATTATTTGAGAGCTAATAACAATTTTGTACTTCTAAAATGCAACTTAGTAATGAGAATTGATATGGAAACTCTCTTAAAGTGGGTCTTTCTATGGACTTCCAACCACTTCACAGTTTAACATTAATGTGCAACGTTATAATATATGGATAACACTCAGGAGACCAAAATTTTAATCTAATTTTCAAACCAAAATCAAATGAAGTCTCACCAATATAAAATAAGTACGTTAATCAACAACTTAAGTAATAATTTAATCATCAACATTCACGTTATTTGATTTACAAAATTTAATTTAAAGTTTTAAGGGGTTTTTTGAAATGGGTCCAAAGTAACTAAAAATTGGACCTATTTCAAAAGTCAAAAGTCACTAAAAATTGGACTTATTTCAAAAGGTAGTCTATAAAATTGGACCTATTTCAAATTTTCCCAAGTTTTGAATCTCTATATCATTACTCATAAAATATTATCTAAAAAGGGAATTGTTATTATCACTCCAAAAATCTCGTTTGGCACTCCAAACTTTCTATAATTAGAAAGAAAAATACACTTATGAGGAGTGTAGAATGAAATTTTTGAAGTGCTAATAATAATTCTTTCCAAAAAAATATAAGATTACAAATAATCTATAAAAAGTCTTATCAAAATTTTGATAGAACCTCTTGCCATTTCTCCTTAATAATTTCAAATAAGCTCTTATATTTTAAAGAGCATTTTTGCTCACCATTATTTAGTGTGGTATATGTTTACTATCCTATTTATCACCGTTAAATAATTTTGAATTTAGAGATTCGTGTAGTGAATAAGTACAAATCTCACAATTCAAACTTATATAATAATAATAAATAGAATGATAAATATACATTACAATAAATAATGATCAGCAAAAATACACTTTATATTTTATGTCTGCACCTGGTAATGATAGAGAACAGTTTTGATAATTGATACATATGACCCCACCACCAAAGCACATTAAATTTTAAAAATATATTCATGGGCCAGTGGCAATCATACACTAGATTATACAAACAAAGTGTATGAGTTCCCACGCGCTTGTAATAAGCTTCAAAATGTCACGCGCGGAATGGACAAGCAAAGAATGTTGTGATTAGAGAGCTAAAAACATGCAATTGTTTTGTTTTGAATTTAGGGAGATTAAGTAAAGACAAGGTCATGGACCATAAAGTACTCCTTGTATAAAAAGGATCATCACCATTTTGGTATTAGTAATGTGTGCATGTTTGGAAATGATCTCTTATTTGATTGTGTAATATTTTTTTAGTTACATTATCGTGAAATTGTATTCTGAATTTATTTTAATTCTTAAATGTCACTTTACTCTTCCTCATTAGTGGTCATTTACTTGAATAGTTTGATATATTATGTCATCAAATTGTAAGTCTCATACTAATTACGTGAATAATAATTTGAGAACTTGACCGAAACGGTCCATTTATAAATCTTAACTGCTGGACTGGTCAAAATCAAATACACATAGCCATATCAATCCAGACGATATATGAACCAAGTATTGAAAAGTAACCGTTTCAATAATAAGCATGTATAACTGATTGTTTCAGCCAATAAACCATACAAATTTAATTGACGATTTCATGATATCTATAACTTACTCATTTCCATCACCATACCTAATACATTCATAATGTAGGACTAAAATGTGTGGTACAAATTGACATACATCTCTCACATGTTAATTAGAAAAGGGTACATAATACATAACCACACAAGATGAATATTTGCTTGAAAGTAGAATTATGAGAGTGGTCACACACCCCATGTGGAGGCTTCCTGGTTCCCTATCTTTCTCTAATGAAAGCTAACGCTTTTCAAGTCCCAACTACTTTTGTTACTCACAACAAAGAGGCAACAATTTTGTGCTCCCTCCTTTATCTTTCTTTGTGCATATAACTGAGTAATAAACATAAAAAAGGTTGGGGAGAAAAGTGATTGGGGCTCATTGCCTCAAAATTATAATGTGGTATGAGTTGGGTGTTTGATGAGTGAGAAAAAGGAGAGGAGATAGGGGATGGATTCAGTCATCATTTATTTGTTTGTGGGGCATCTTGTTCAAAATTTAAAAAACAAAAACAAGTGAGAGAGCAAAAATGCAAGAGCTAGAACCATGCCTCCCTATCCTATACAAATCCCCATACCTTTTGTAATTCAAAACCCGTTCTCTCTTTTTGCAGGAAATTTTTAGTATGCTGGAAATACAATCTGGTATATTAAGTATCATAAAAAAATTGTTGAATACTAAAAAAAAAAAAAAAATTAACCACTTATATTATAACACTTTGTTATATAAAATTGTAATTCAAATATATTGAAAAATTTCTCGTCTTGTCACATATTTAGGCATTATAGTATCATAAACCACCATCAATGTGTCAATTATTTTAAAGAGAGTGGGACATGACCACCAGTGACCCTTATGATGTGCCAGATGTTGGCAAAATTTTTGACTTTTGTACCTCGTTTGAAAGCAATTTTTTAACAAAACATGTAATTTTTTGAAAACTCACTTTAAGAGATCATTTAGAATTATTTCTTTGAAAGAAGCTCAGTTTAAAATCATTTTAGTAAAAATGTTTCTGTTAAACATAATCAGAAGCGAATTTGATGTTCTGAAACGTTTTTGATTAATTTAAAAGTATTTTCAAATAGTTATGATAACAAATGCTTTTCGGTAATCCAAAATTGCTTTTAATTATTTTACCCAATTCCAAACAAGACACCCAGAAAATCCCATTTGTAGATCAATCAACCTAATAAAGCTTAATAGTTTATTAATTTTTCTAATTTCACTTTCAAACTTTTGTAGAGACGTTGACTCACCCACAAAACGCAGATAGAATCCGTCCATGAAACCAAACGCCAAGAGCGTGCAAACCACACACTGCAATCACCATACAGATGCTCCGTCTGTCAAACCATGGTCCCGCTTTGAGAGCAAATCCATCCTTAAAAAAATACGTCATTATCTAGCTTAATTAATCTATTCAATGAATAGTAATAGACATTAACGAACAGTAATAGGTCAAATGTATCTTCGTCTCTAACAAAAAATAGTCTAATCAATTTTATTAAAATATTATTATTTTTATTATAAAATAATAAAAAATAATAATTTTATTTTTAATTTCTGACTTTATAAAAAAATAAAATAATATTATTATTATTAAAATATTTTTATTTTCTCATCTTCCACCTCTTTCTTGTCCCCACCGCCGTCCACCCCTGCACTTCCCTTCCATTCCCATCGTCGCCTCCAAACCTCCTCCTCCCATCCTCCGACGTAGTCGCCTTCCTGTCCTTCAAATCCCAAGCCGACCTCAACAACAAGCCCCTCTACACCCTCAACGAGCTTCAACTCCTGCATCTCCACACCTCTTCATTGTCCTCTTTGTCCTCCCGTCCTTCTCCCTCTGTGGCTCCTTCCCTCCCGACACCTCTCCCGCCTCGACCAGCTCTGCTATCAGCCTCCACAACAACTCCCTCTTTGGCGCCAAAAAAAGAAAAAAAAAAAAAGTGGCTGACATCAGCCCCCGTGGTATTGGGTGCCGGGCTTGATGAAATTGAGGTTCCACCATAAAACCAATTGGCAATATGGGGAGTAGCCCAAGATCATATAAGTATATAGCAAACCTTGTCCCTCACCGATGTGGGACAACTCTCAACAGGGCTATCAAGCCCTGGTGGAACTGCTCTAAGTCATCACCATTGGCGCGTGTATTGACCTCCCCACACGATCGCGTGGAGTCAAACCAGGGTGTTTCTGGGTTGGGAAATAAAAATAAAATTAGAATGAGAAATTAGAGAGAGATAGAGTTTTAGAGAGTGTCAGAGGTTAGGGGCTAGAGAACGTGCAGTATTTGAAGCAAGCACACAGATCTGGATCCCACTCAATACACCAGACTCGGACACCCCCAACACTCTATCTCTCTCTCTCTCTCTCTCTCTCTCTCTCTCATCAGTCGGTTTTTGTCCCCTGTAAACTTCAAGGGCCAGAGAAACGCAACGGAGAAATAAAGAGATACAAGGAGGGAGAAGAAAATCCAAGCCGAACCAAAGCTAGAGAGAGAAAGTGAGCTCAGAACCCAAAAACTCAGTAGTGCAGCAGCAGCAGAAACAGTGGCAGCAGCGAAGGGATTGATGGTTCTTCTGCTGCAGCAAAAGAGGGGCTAGAAACTAGCAAGAAAAGGCGGTGGTTTGGCTTTTGTAGTAAAAATTTGACTGGGATTTCCATAGCTATAAGCTTTGGGATTTTATACAATTTATAGCAAATAATATGTTTCAAGTAGTTGAGCTGCAGGAAGACGCAGAGAAACCAGAACACTCTTACTCCTTTCGTACTTAGCGGGTAAGCGTTACTTTTAGTCTCAGATTTTGGTTTTAGTTTCAAATTATTTTTAGTGACTGATTATTTGTTGGGGATTTTCATTTCATTTGGGTTCAGACTTTCAGTTTTATTGCTATTTCTTTATGCGTACCGAGTCCTCCCAACTTTCCTCCACTTTAATTGCTTTTTGGAGAAAATTTCAATCCCCAAAGCTTCTTTCTTTTTTCTGTTTTCCTTTCATTTCCTGTCAACAATTAAAGGATAACTCTCTCTCTCTCTATCTATCTTTCTCTCTCCCCCATCTCTCCAGCTTCAGCTAGGTGGCCTGTTCCTTCGTTTTAATCAATCAAACCACACGAGAATACTACTTTTCACACTCCAACTTTTATATATATATATATATATTTCTTTTCTTTTTCTTCTCTCTCTATACCTTTGGTTAATTAATTCTTCTGTTCTTGGGTTTTGCAGGAACATTAAGATAGAAAGAAAGAAAGAAGAGAGAGAACACACACTCTCTCTCTGTTGTGCTCTCTCTCCTCCCACTCGTCACAAAAACAAGTTGGTGGGTGAAAGGGTTGGGAAAAAGAAACTTTCACTTGTTCCTCTCAAGAAACACAAATTTTTTAGGGTTGGTGGTGGGAGTGAAGTTCCAGTTCCAACACACACACCAACCCAACTTCTCAATCCGCCATGGACTCCTATGAAGCTACAAGAATTGTGTTCTCGAGGATCCAAAATTTGGACCCAGAAAATGCTTCAAAAATCATGGGTCTGCTTCTGATACAAGACCATGGCGAGAAGGAAATGATAAGGCTAGCTTTTGGACCTGAAGCTTTTCTCCACTCGGTCATTCTCAAGTCAAGGAAGGAGCTGGGAGTGCCCCTATCATCAAACTCTCCTTCCACTCCTTCCACTCCTTCTCCTTCCCCCTTCACAAACCCCATCGCTATCTCCAGGCAGAACTCTTGCTCTTCCGCCTCGAGGCTCTCTCTCACTATCCCCAACCCTTCTTCTTCCTCCGCTTCCTGGGCTGCTATCTCCGAGCTCAGAACCCAAGAAGAAATCAGCAGCCTCTATGGAGGTAGTAATGGAGGAGTTCCAGCTGATGTGATGGATGAGTTTCAGCTCCAAGAGCAGCTCTCCTTCCTCAACGATGGCTGTCCACCACCAATGGTGGGACCCAAGTCGCCTGATTTTTTCTACCCACAGTCCAACTTGTCTTCCAGTCCTACCACCGCTTCTGATCCGAACCTTTTCTCCTCCTTGCACGGCTCTGCTAATTGGGGTGGTGGAGGCGGTGGCGGTGGTGGGCCGCTTGACCGACGAAGTTGCTCAATCAGCGACGTGTGCTTGGAGGACCCCAACTCAGGGTTTGGGTGGAAACCCTGCCTGTATTTCGCCAGAGGCTACTGCAAGAACGGAGCCAGCTGCAGGTTCTTGCACGGCGGCGGGCTTGGAGACACCGTCGTCGACGGCGGTGGACAGGTGGTTGTTGGGTCGCCGAGCAAGCTGGAAATGATGGACCATGAAGCGCTTCTCAGATCTAAAACCGCTCAGCAGCAGAGGCTTGCTGCTGCATCTCAGCTTATGGCAGCGTCAGCCAATTCCTTCCCTTACTCCTCCAAGTGCATGAACTTCCTTCTTCAGCAGCAACAAACTGATTCCCAAAGGTGCATGATTTACTGAAGTTCTTATCATTTTTGGAAATTAATTAAAGCTCCTGTCTTTTAATCATTTGTGTTGAATAATTATTAAGTTGATCTTTTTTGTTCTTTGTATTTGTAGGGCTGCGGCAGCTGCCTTGATAATGGGTGATGATATGCACAAGTTCAGCCGATCCCGCCTCGAAAGATCCGATTTTTCGATGAATGGCGGTGCGGGGATTGTGAACCCGGCTTCAAGGCAGATATATTTGACTTTCCCGGCCGATAGCACTTTCAGAGAGGAAGATGTCTCAAACTATTTCAGGTTATTTTTTTACCTGATTTTGTGTACCTGTATTAGTGTCATTTGAAGGTCATGGTGAAACAGGTTTTCGTATTGCTGACTTAGTTTGCTGTTGTTAATTGCCAAAAAATTGAAGCATTTACGGGCCGGTCCAAGACGTGAGAATCCCATACCAGCAGAAGAGGATGTTTGGATTCGTTACATTCTTGTACCCGGACACGGTGAAGCTGATTTTGGCCAAAGGGAACCCTCATTTTGTTTGTGATGCTAGAGTGCTTGTCAAGCCTTACAAGGAGAAGGGCAAAGCTCATGAAAAGTACAACAACTCTCTCACAATCTCATTTGATCTTGTTCTAATTATTCCACTAGTTATTATATCATTACCTAAAATTAATTATAATTTAGTGGATAATAAGCTAATAATGGTGTTTGCATGTTATTAATTTTCCAGGAAACAACAGCAACAAGTGGAAAGAGGAGATTTGTCTCCCTGTGGTACACCTTCTGGGCTGGATGGTAGAGACCCTTACGATCTCCAGCTAGGTTAGCTAATTAAACAAAATTATTTACATTCTGTTATTTATTAATTTCCAGACGCATGGAAGATATAAATTCATTCAGTCACATGTTAAATTAGTTAAATTATTTATTTTGAAATATAGGAGCAAAGATGTTTTACAATTCTCAAGACATGCTGTGGAGGAGGAAGCTGGAGGAGCAAGCTGAGTTGCAAGCACTTGAAATTCAAAGTCGAAGACTGATGGGCCTGCAGCTACTTGATGTCAAGAAGCATCACCACCGCGCACTCTCTGCCAGCAGTCCGATTCACTCCCCAACCCAGTCTCCCAACATGTTCAGTCGAAACCTAGTGCTTCCTTCGGTTCATAACGGCCAAGAAGTTCCCCACGGTACTCATGTTGTCACTCATACAGTGATCACAAAATGATTTCATGGTTCAATGCAGTTGCTAATGTTTATATGCTCTTGATTGCAGATAACTGTTCTTCTCCGATGCCACACATGACTCCAGCAGTGGATGCTGATCAGCTTCTTAAGGAAGCAGCTGCCGCTGTTCTAGGTAAAGATATGATGGCCAACAATGACGAAAGTGGTAGTGGTAGCCGAAGTAGCAATGGTAGTGGTAAGGAGAGCCCCCAAGACGATATCAGTGATTTGCTTGAAGGGTAAGCCGGGTTTTGCATATTCTTTGTTGATATATGCCCATACTGAAAGATTTTATGGACTTTGGACAATGTGTTGAAGCTAATGGATCTTATAATTGAGTCCATGCAGTTTGGAGCACAATCTTCCTGATAGTCCTTTTGCGTCTCCAACAAAGGCTGCCGGAGAGTACACATCCTCTGCCTTTCCCAACGTGACTAGCGAGGCCAATGGCTCGGATGCCTCATTTGCAGTCGCTAACATTAACTTGGCGACTTCCCTACTTCCAGCATCTTCATCCCTGGACATGGCATCCTTAAAGTCTTTCAACTGCCAAATTCCAAGGTAACCCTAATTCCCGACTGTAAAGTTGTTCATTTGATCACTGTGTAAAGTGAAATATATTTAGACTTGGAAGGTTTTTTTATTGAGTTTCAGGTTGAACTCCGGTCACGGAGCCATAGGGATGTACGCCGGCACAGGAGCTGGGCCAAAATGCCCGGTAGGAACTTCCTAATCAAGCTTAATTAGGTAAAAGTTACTTTCAAATCTAAAATTTGTTTATGTTGTATTTTGCTTTGTTTAAACATATAGATAACGTAATCTATATGATAATTTGACTTTTTTTTTGGCAGGAGGATCAACATGTTTTAGTTTAACAAAACAAAAACCACCATAAAAAATCTGTAGAGAATCAAAAGAAATCAAATCTTCCCCACCACCATCATCACCGGCACCACCAGCAGCAGCAGACACCACCATCATATCATCATCTCCAAATACCAACAATACTACTTACTACCATACAAAATGCTTACGTAAAAAGGCAGTGAAAGGAAAGAATTGGGTCCCATCCCATTACATTTTCTTTCTTTGCTTCTTGTCTGTACTATTTTGATCAATCAACGTCTACTCCCCCATTTTATGTAGTAGCTTCATCAAGTTGGAAGAAATCGTAGTACCACAGGTTAAAAACAAAAGTAGACACGGTCAAAAAATATGTTTGTTTGTTGCAAATTTTGGCACTGTAATTTCAATTTTCACCCTTGGAAGTGAAAACAATTGCCGAAAAATCTAGTGTTAGAGTGTTACTGTTAGTTTTGTGTTTTTTCTAGTGTAATCGAAGTCTTTGTACAGCAGAAGCAGCGGAACCCTGAAGAAGCTAGCTGAGGAAGGAAGTAAAAAGTAAATTTGTAACTACATGGCTGATTCACTGATTGAAGGGAAAAGCTTGGGAAGAAGGAGAAATTAGTCAGCTGAGCTCCAGTTAGATATTGGGAAGCTTTTTTGTTTTACCATTATCGATCATGAGTTCCTGCTACTTGTAGTTATCAAACAGTAAGAAAAGTTTAATTAGGAACAAAATCAGAAAGGAAACAAGTCAAGATTTTACTTTTTACTCTAATTATAGTCTCATTGCCTCTATGATAACGACTTATATAAAACATGTTCATCATCGGAAGTGTGGTATGGTTAACTAGTCTCATGAGTTCTACCTCGAATAGCATAAGATTCTTATATCGGTTTGTCACGTAAGTTGCTCTCCTCCATTGCATGTAAGTGGTGGGATACTGTCTTTTTAATTTTTCAATTCATGTTTTTTTTTTTTGGTTTGGTTTTTTGAGGGGGGGTGGCGCGCCAAAAGCTAAAGCTGAGTGGGGACCGCAATGCACCATGTAGCTGACGCTGCAAGCGGGTCCTGCTCATTTATCTAATGCCAGATTGGGGATGGGTCCCTACTACACAAACCAAGAACCCCACCCATCTGAGTGATCTATGCCATGCGACTCTCTCTCTACTTTCTTTCTCTTTGTATTGACAGGAGAGAGAGAGGGAGGACATGCACAGATTTAAAAGCAGATGTAATGCCCACACGTATGACAAAGGTGCACGGATACTCGAATCTTTTGGGCTCCGTGGCCTTTCCTGTGAATGCGCGACTAAATTGGTGGTAGCTGTGAGAGATAATATTTACTGCTTCCCTCGGAGTTTGTAGCCAACGTACTTGACCAGTGAAAACATTTTAAGTTAGATGAATGGTTAACGTTAAAGACGCTAAAATTTTTAAAATAAATTTATAAATCAAATGTCGTGTGATAGATATTGGATTATTATTACGTGATTAATGTATTTATTTTTTTGTTGATAATATATTATTTAGCTTAAAATTTTAATCTTTCTAATATTACATTGGATAAATATAGTGAGAAGAGACATGCTAATGAAATTTTTTTAAAAGTGAAATTCTTATTGAATTATTTACCATTTTATAGTTTTTTTATAATATTTTATGATGTTAATATGAAAATTAATATTAAATTGTAAAGTGACAAAATTTGTGGAAAGTTTTTGAGAGGCATTTCTCCAGTGATCAACAGCTGGGCAAAATGTTTCGGTAACTGCAAAGTTACTATTTTACCATATCCTTGCGCTTTTTCCCAATTGGTTTCTTGGGAATTTATGATTAGGGTTTTTGGAATGAAGGGATGAGTAATTAATATGTTAAAAAGTCTTTGGTCCCTTCTGACTGAGACATTTTTTGGGTTCTTTGTTTAAACTCCGGTAGACTAAATTGGGTTACGTTTGTGGAAATTGACAGTGACTGGAGTAAAAGGAGTTAAAGCAAGTATATGATAATTTGATTAAAATGAGAATGATTTATGTGACACAGATACATCACGTTTTGTATCATAAGAGTATTTTTAATAGTTTTGCTAAATTCTTGCTAGTTAGGAGAGTTAATAGTATCAAAAAGGAGAAATTACATTCTTATCATTCTTTTTGTTATTTCATTGATTAAAATCTTATTCCTTTTCAATTTTTGATTAAAGTCCTTGGGTATTAATAACATCATTAATTATTTCAATAATAAAATATTTTTTTATTTCTAACTATATTCATTTAATGTTAAAAATGTTACCATTAGTATATTTATATTTATGATTAAATTTTTTATCATATATTTTTAGTTTTAGTTTGTACCCATTTTTAATTTGTAACCCATATATTAATTTCTTTTTGTGTCCATATTTTTTAAAGTTTATTTGTATTTGTACCCATATTTTTTTTATTTGTACTTTTTAGTTTTGCTAAGTGTACCCAAGCTAATTATATGTACCTATTCATGTAAAATTTTTATTTTGTTATATGTAAAATGTGCCCTTTTTTTAATATAAAATCTACTCATTTTTTTAATCCATTTTTAAACTTATATGGGTACATTCTTTTTTCTTTGATTTTAAAATGTATCTATGTTAAGTTTAATCGAAGAAAATAACTAATGTTATTAAGCCTAATATCTTCTTTTTTCTTTCTTTTTTTCTTCTTTTGTGATTTTGAAGAATGTACCCATGTTTTGATACAATAATTTTTTTTGGTTAATTTTGATGAATGTACCCATGTTTATATATATAAACACACACAATAGTATGTTTATATTTTAATATTTTTAATCCCACAAATTATGATTTTTTATTTAAAATCTCATTTATATAAACAACTAAAATTTCTAATTTTTAATTTAAAAAAATATAGTAACGGACATAGAAATAAATTATCACATTGATTTCAGGGTCCTCAATCAAAAATTAAAAACTAACAAGATTTCAATCAAATAATATTTATAACTAAAAACCGCATATAAAGTCTCCCATCAAAAAACTATTTAGCTAGTCTCTTTAATTTTTCATCTTTAACAACATTCTCTATTTTAACAAATTTGAATATTTTATTATCAATCGTTTCAAAGGAAAAAATTTTATCCACTCATTTTCTAAAGCACTTTATCTCTCTTTCTTTCTTGGTTCACGGGTTCACTATTGAGTTTTATTATTTTTTAACGTTTATCATATGACTAGTGATTATAAATTTAAAAAGCAACTGTTCACCTTTATTTTGTATCATAATCTAGTGCTATTCTTCTTCACTTGTAAGTGAAATGTCTTAAGTTCGATTCTCGTCAAAGCCGAATTTAGACCACATTATTGCTATAATATAGTTTTGTAGTTTTTCTAGAGATGCTCTAAAATAAAGATGTGTAAATTTGTGTTCACATATTTTTATTTTACTGATATGAGATGTTATATTTGTTCACATGTCTTTATCCGTTGACACAAGGCGTTATATATCGGTATGCTTATGTCATATAAGTTGTCATTGTTAAAAAAAAAAAAAAAAGATGCATTTTGCCTTGATTCACTTGTACTAGTTTTTATTTATGAAACATTTTTAATGACTGTCACATTACAATGTGGTGTTAGTATGTAGTGCTAATAATTATCGTGTTACAACGTGTAGATGGCATTATTAATTGTGTTGTTAAACTTAATACCTAATATTTGTAGATAAATACATGTATCACGATGTAAGAGGATTAATACTATTATGTGACAGTGTCACAATTATTTAAAAAAAAAAAATAGTTTGGTACTAACACACAGAAAAGACTTTCTCCTTGTACAATTTTTTTATTAGTTGCATTTAACTATACATCTCCATAAATGTGTAATTGCGGGTAATGTCTTAATCAAAGTGTTATGATGTTTTTCAAATATGAATTTACATATTAAAGCAAGGATTTGTCTACATCATAAATAAGACAACAGCTTACTACTACTTTATGTTCTAGCAATAATTGAGAGTCATACTAAGAACATCACCAATGCAAATGCTTAAATATTAGACATATATTCTTACATGAGAAATGGTAAAGGGACTCGGATTATTTATGGACTCTCATGTTTGTGGTACAATGTTTTAAATTGTTAGGATAATAATAAACATTAAATTGTGAAGTAGCAGAGAATCCATTGAGAGTTTTACTTTTAAGAAAGATCCACTTTTGAGAGAGATTCCTTAATATTTATCTTCTTGTATTTGCCTTAGGTCCAAAATTTGAGTCTTACGTTGAAGATGCTCTAACAATCTTACAATATGAAAAATGATAGTCACGTATCTTTTTTCTCTCCTATAAACTCTTTGTTAACCATGTCTGTTATATATGTTTGATTTATTCAAAGTAATGATAGAAATTAAAGATAAATATGTTTAAAGAGCAAAAGGATACGTGTGGCATCATATCCCCACAATAAAATGTTACAAGAGAAAAGGCAAATGTTGGCCCAAATTTTGGGTGTAAAGCTGGGATATGATTGTATGAATATCAATAATGTCAAATGAGAAAATGCAGAAAGGAAATTAAGAAAAGGTGCTTTTGCTCTATCATTCTTTCATTTCATGCATGTACATATCAAACGAACATGATTAGGCCACAAGAGGATCCAAGGTTTTCTCTTTCGGCTCTCTCTTTTTCATTTTTTTATTAGAATATGTTAGGATGACCCCACTTACCACGTAGCCCTAGCTAGCTCATAATACTAAGATGCATATGTTTCTTGTTGCACATGTCAAATTAAAGAGGGAATGTCTAAAGGCTCCATGTGTGATGATTGGAAAAAAAAAAAAAAAAAAAAAAAAGGCTCCAATTGTGTGTTTTTATGTATAATAGACTGTCAAGATCGGAGGACTTACATTTTTCTGTCATTTATTTTTGATAGTGTTATTCACATTTTTTTTTTTTACACTTTTATTAATTTTTGTTTTTTATTTTTTTCATTTATTCGATGCTTGTGTAAAATGTAAAAATAGGTATGTGGATAGCATAACCCTATATTTTTAGGCTCACTTTATAACGTGTTTCAACGACCCAATTTTTATCTTTTAGATCTTCCCTCAAAGATTATTTCTGCAAAAAATTACTCAAATCCAAAATGACTTATATTGGTGTTGAATTTATCTACTTTTTAACAAAAATGATCTATAAATGATAAATTAAATATTAACGATTTGGATATTTGAATAAAGTTACAAAATGTTAACCACAAGGATGTGAAAATATATGTCCCTCAATCTTGATCCATATGTATATATGCATGTACATGCATAGATGGACAGGGGTGGTCAAATTGTGAGTGCGCAGCTTGCGTTTTCATTTGTGCATCCTTTTTCTCACGTCAAAATTATAAGAGGCAAGTGGCCTGGATTTTATACTAAACGTGGGGAACTCAAGTGTGGAGAATGATGACAAGGACAAAGGAAGCAAGGATCACCGATTTGAAGTCGAAGGTGTCATCATACCTGCATATAATTCTACCCCTTTCGATGTTATAGAGTCGCTCCTACTATTTCACCCATCTATATCCAATAATCATAAAGGTGTTGACTTAAATGTTCCAATCACTTAGCATACTTGTTTGATAACTATTTAATTTTTATTACACACAGCTATCTCATTTAAATTCTGACATAATAATATATGACATATGTGCTCGTGTTCCGAGTACATTGAATTTTTTTTTGAGATTATGAAGGGTTGTGGGATCCTAGCATACCATAATCATTTGTCTTTTGAATTGATGCTACTATATCCTGATGTAGAACGAGATTTAGGCTATTTTAGTTGTGGTAAAATTGAAATAAGGAAACGACGTTTAGTCAAGAAAAATGATTTGAGATCTGAGAACTCACTGATCTATATGTTATATATTCTTAGCGGTATTTATCGAAAGTTGATATATTAGACTTTTGTGTCAAGCCTTTTTTTTTCCAGAAACTAATGTAGGTGCTATGTTTCTTTAGTACTAGGTTTGAGACTTTTTCGCTTGAAAGTTATGTTGTGTTTTTAATAATATTTTCATTTTGGAGCTAGGGTTCATTAAGACTATATAACCAACTTTTAGGATTGTATTTTAATAATCTTTTATATCGTTCAATATTAAATTTCGAACGTATCGTTTGCTAGTTAATTTCTGATCTAAAAGAAGTCGAAGAAGACGAAGTTATAGCTGAGTTCAATGGTAAGTTTTTTCTCTCTTGCAGAAATAATATGTTCCGCTTATAATAGGTCTAAGTTTAATAATGAGCCGGATTATTTTTTGTGAGAGCAGTAATCACTATTTATATACATAAACAATCCTTACGATACTCCTATTAGAATTCTTGTAGGAAACCAATATTTTCTCCCAATTTTAATATAAATGAGTAATTTATGATAAGTTCTCAGTTTCAATTGTATATAAACTAAGACATTCAAACCCCTTCTAATAAAAATATTCTAAACCAATTTGAACTCAAACATCCGGCTAAAATATACTTACACTTATGCCCATATTCTAACATATCTATCATTTCCCAAACAAATTGCTAAGCATTTTGAGTTTGTCTATAAAAACATGAATATTATTTGGGTTTAAGCTGGTAACCAACAGAACGAGTGCCGTAGGAATCTGGAGTCCCAGAAAATTTGGAGACCGAAGTGGTTGTTTGATTGGGCTTTCCTTAAACAGGCCTAAAGTAACTGTTAAAAGAAATTAGAGAGAAACAAAGACAATCTTTTGTCAGCAGCCCTGACCCCATTCGTTTTAGGGTTGGCGACAATTTTTTCCTGACAATCATTCTTGGTCTTTTCATTTTTTTATTTTTATTACTTTTGTTTTTGGTATAGAATTGTCGTCATTAAAAGTTGTAATAACCGACACACAATCGCACAAGAATTTTTTCACTCATTTGATTTAGTAAAACAAATTGTTTAAACTTAGGACGTAGTGAATAAAAAGAAAACCCTAACCACGTCGCATAGTAGTTAAAATTTGTTTCGTTAATATTTCCCATTCTTGAAGTTTACTTACTATTTCTCTAGGCAAACATGTTTTAATCTAGGCCAATTAATTTCTTATAAAGCGCAAATACGTAAAACAATGGGTCATTTCATTTTTATTTTTTTAGGATATGGGGGTACTATTCACAACAACAGCAACAACAAAAAAACGAATACTATTCTTTAACATATTTGGATGGCCATTTTCGAGCTTTAATAAGAAAAGAAATCCATAAAAATTTGAGATCATCTCTAGATTTTTGTGTCTGAAGTCCATGGATCAGGAGATCTAGCTTGTTGAAGAGAGAAAGTTTGGGACCCTTGCTTTGTGTGAGGTGGCATAATGAAATGAGCTAACTAGGAGCCACATGATTTAAAATGAATAATTCAAATCTCTAAGCCCTTGAGCTTCGGACACAAAAATCCGTAAAGAATCACAGTTTATCCTCAAAACCAAGGAAAATATCACTTTGACATACGGAAAGTATCAATAAAATGATTGAATTGTGAAAGATTCAAGAGCATCGGAAATACTAATTTATGGTGCGTTTCTTCTTAAATTATAAATAGCGCACTCTGTTTTTTTATTTATTTAAGAGATTTAAATAAGAGACGTCCAAAATACAGATTATATGTAACAAACTGAATAAGATACAACATTTATATTCTTGTCCGGCATGCATACGACTACAAAATATAAAAACATGTACAACGTAATTATGAACATAAGTATGCCATCCATGCTAATGAGTATTAGTTTTTTTAACAAACGATATTATCTACACTAAATTGAGGGGGTTAGCTTAGGCTCATAATGTGTTAGCAATAATGTGGTTCAAATTTGCCTTTAACAAAAATCAAACCTAACTTCTTACTTACGAGTAAAAAAGAAACCACCGTAGTACTAAGTAACAATTAAGTCTTCTTCCCTTTTAATACACGCAAAAACATTCCCGCCATTCTCGGCTTGGTTTTGAACATTTCCATAACACGAAATGAAACTCCATCTCCTTTTTTCTCTCAATCATTCAATCCACACACTGCGAATTAATTCACAGATCCAAACGAACTGAGTTGCTGAATCACCCATAGCGAGTCAGTCAGACTGATCACAGTCATCGTATTCAGAAGAAGAGAGGGAAATCATGAGAGAGAAAATGGAGGAGTACTTGCGGAGGAACTTCGACGTCGAACCTAAACGCCCGTCCGAGGAAGCCCTGAAGCGGTGGAGATCCGCCGTCTCCGTCATCAAGAACCCCACCCGAAGGTTCCGCATGGTCGCTGATCTCGCCAAGCGCGCTGAGGACAAGCGGAAGCGCAAGAACCTCCAGGTTCCTTTCAACCTCTCCATCGTCATTGTTCTTATAATTTCTTCAATTAAGTGTTGCGATTCTCGCCATTGTGTTTGTCACATTTAAACGAATGAACGATAGCTCGTTACTTTAAATTTCATGTCACGTTCTGCTTTGGCTTTGAAATTTTTTGGAGAAATCAGAGGAATAGATGAGATGCATGTGTTACTTTCTATTTTTTGTGTTTGTTTTCTCGTTAGGAGCCTAAGATTTCCTTGGAAACTCAACAGGCCTTTGCCAATTCTTACATAATTATACTTGTGAGGGAGCAGTGACATAATCAACCATTATTCATGATTGATCAAGTTTCATGATTTGCAAAATATTGAGGTGGATGATTACTCCACAAACGACATGTGGCTTTAATGCTACGTCACTACGAGTGTTTTAGTAGTTAAATTTCTTGATTTGGCAAATATCGAATTTGAACTTGAAACGCAGTAGGTTGCATTAAGCAGTGGAATAAGTAGTGTCGCTACAGTTTGATGCATTTAATTTAGCAGTTATGTTTTAATTTCATAAACTTAATTATTTCTAAATGTCTTCGCTTCAGGGTGTTGAATCTCTTTATTACTGTGCATTAAACTTAATTATTGAATTGTAGCTATGGTTTTTCAAGCTTACGGGGGTTACTAATCTCAGCTTAATGAAACAATTAAACCATTAAGGAAATATATTTTTTCGTTCTCTACGAAAATATAAACATGATAGATGATCTTTGTGGGGTTTCGAGATATAGTCATTTGTATAGACTCTCAGGGCTAAGTTCTTTATGTGCTTTTGTTTTGTGCTGTTTAGCCCCGTTGTTTCGCCCAAAAAAAGTATATGGAAGTGGTACATATAGAAGAGGGTTTGATGTAGTAGAATATACCAATGACAAGTAAATAGTTCAATGGAGGTCTAAGGCCTGGGGAGAAATCGGGAGTACGAGACTCAAATTCCCACCATGTGTATTGAGGTAAAAACTTACCACTGATGCTATGAAGCTGCAAATTGTTTAGATGTCCAGAAAATGGCGTTTCCTGGTTTCGGTTTCGTTGCTTTTGTATTACCTCCATTTTAAAGCGTTGCGATTTCATAGTGTGATAAAAATGATGACAAACAAAGGAATAAAGGTTTCCTGGTAAAGTCAGGATGTTGTATTTGAAAAGGAAATTTTTTATATGCTTGTGTGAGGATGGCGTGCATTGTCAGCACATCTGACTAGTATTTCAATCGAACTAGGTTTCGATGCCAGGAAATTAAGGCTTGTTAATGTTAATTAAATATCTAATGTATGATTATCTCAGCATCATGAGTGTTTTGCATCAGGTTTGATGGTATAAGACATCTGCTAAGCATGAAAAGCCTGTTTAATTAACTCCCAAATGCTGGTTTAAATATTTTCTAATTCTAACATTTTCGCTATGCTTCTGTTGATTCTTGTCAGGAGAAGATACGTGTTGCTATATACGTACAAAAAGCAGCATTGCAATTCATTGATGGTATTATATTCTTCTTCTTATTATAGTAACATCTCCTTCATTTAAACTTGTGATTCCTTTCTAAGTCATGTTAATTTTTTTATACAATTCAGCTGGCAATCGCTAGGATTGTAATCTTCCCAAAGAAGTTAAAGATGCTGGTTTTGGCATTGATCCTGAGGAAATTGCATCCTTTGCTCGATCTCACGATACCAAAGGGTTGGAAAGACATGGAGGAGTACCAGGATTAGCAGGAGAGGTTTCTGTATCGCTGGAAGATGGTGTTGTTTCAAGCAAGATACCTATTAGGCAGGATATATATGGCTTCAACCGACATGCAGAGAAACCTTCTAAAGGTTTTGGGATGTTTCTCTGGGAAGCCTTACAAGATTTAACTCTAGTCATCCTCATGGTTGCTGCTGCGGTCTCTATAGGTGTTGGAATCACAACTGAAGGAATGCCGAAAGGTATATATGATGGCTTGGGAATAATACTTAGCATATTGCTAGTAGTGTTGGTGACTGCAATCAGTGACTACAAGCAGTCGTTGAAATTTAAAGAACTGGACAAAGTGAGAAAAACATAATTGTTCAGGTGACTAGAGACGGACGCAGACAGAAGGTCTCTATCTACGATTTGGTGGTTGGAGACATTGTTCATCTTTCCATCGGCGATCAAGTTCCAGCTGATGGTATTTTCATATCAGGCCACAGCTTACAAGTCGACGAATCAAGCTTGTCAGGTGAGAGTGAGCCAGCGGACATAAATCAAGAGAGACCCTTTCTTCTTGCAGGAACCAAAGTGCAAGATGGTTCTGGGAAAATGTTGGTGACATCAGTTGGTATGAGGACTGAATGGGGACGACTAATGGTTGCTCTGAGTGAAGGGGGAAACAATGAGACACCACTGCAGGTAAAACTTAATGGAGTTGCAACCATTATAGGAAAAATCGGTTTGACTTTCGCGGTGCTAACATTTATAGTTCTGACTTCAAGGTTTTTAATAAACAAGGCGGTTCACCGTCACATGACAGACTGGTCTTCCAAAGATGCATTAAAGCTTTTGAATTACTTCTCGACTGCCGTCATTATAATTGTTGTTGCAGTTCCGGAAGGGCTACCTCTGGCAGTGACGCTAAGTCTCGCCTTTGCAATGAAAAAACTCATGTTTGATAAAGCACTCGTGAGACATCTCTCTGCATGTGAGACAATGGGTTCTGCTACTTGTATTTGCACAGATAAAACTGGAACTTTGACAACAAATCATATGGTTGTGAACAAGATATGGATCTGTAATGAAACCGAGACTATAACGAGTAATGATAACAATGACGTGTTGAAGTCGGCTTCTGAAGGAGTACATGACCTCCTTTTACAGTCCATCTTTCTGAATACAAGCACGGAGGTAGTCAAGGGGGAAGATGGGAAGAATAGCATTATGGGGACTCCAACAGAGACGGCGGTAATTGAATTTGGAATGCTTCTGGGAGGTGATTTTAAATCTTACAGTGAGGATTATAAGATACTGATGGTTGAACCATTCAATTCAGTCAGAAAAAAGATGTCGGTACTAGTGGCTCTGCCTGATGGAGGAAAGAAACGAGCATTCTGCAAAGGAGCATCAGAAATTATCTTAAAAATGTGCGATAATATTGTTGCCACTCATGGTGAAGCTGTGCCTCTATCGGACGAGCAAAGAACAAATATCTCAGATGTCATAAATGGTTTTGCTTGTGAAGCTTTAAGAACTCTATGCTTAGCTTTCAAGAATGTATATGACTCCTCTAGTGAAGACAGTATTCCTGACGATAAATATACGTTAATCGCTGTTGTTGGAATCAAGGATCCTGTGCGTCCTGGAGTGAGGGAAGCCGTGAAGACTTGTTTAGATGCTGGGATTACGGTAAGGATGATCACTGGCGATCATATTAATACGGCTAAAGCCATAGCTAAAGAGTGTGGCATTTTGACAGAAGATGGTTTGGCTATAGAAGGGCCAGATTTCCAAAATAAGAGCTCGCAGGAGATGGCAGAAATAATTCCGAAACTGCAGGTTTTAGTTTTTCTATTGCTTTAATAACTTCTTAGTATAAATGCTCATTTGTGTTGACGGGCAGTAGTTTCTGGATCAATTTTCTGTCGGGAATTTAGTGAAAAAATCTTTGCACAGGTAATGGCTCGATCGTTGCCTTTGGACAAGCACACCTTGGTGAAACAGTTGAGGAATGAGCTTAGAGAAGTTGTGGCAGTAACTGGTGATGGGGCGAATGACGCTCCTGCACTGCACGAGGCAGACATCGGACTTGCTATGGGTATTGCAGGAACGGAGGTTTGTTACTTACAGACCTCGTCCTACACAATTTTTATTATATCACTGTTTTATTTCTTCTTAAATCCTAATAGTCGGCTAAACATCTGCCGGTCTACAGGTTGCGAAAGAAAGTGCTGATGTTATAATAATGGATGACAACTTCACAAGCATAGTGAATGTTGCAAGATGGGGTCGGGCGGTTTATGTCAACATTCAAAAGTTTGTACAGTTCCAGCTAACAGTTAACATCGTCGCTCTGATACTCAGTTTCATTTCAGCATGCGTCTCAGGTTTGTTCATCAGCGGAACTACTTCAAAACCTCTCGACATACATATTTACCAAATGCATTGCAGGCGCTAATGAATGTGCGAAATAACTTTCAGGAACCGCTCCTCTCACGGCTGTGCAGATGCTTTGGGTGAACTTGATCATGGACACTCTTGGTGCTTTGGCGCTGGCTACAGAGCCACCAAACGAGGGTCTAATGAAAAGGCCACCGGTTGGAAGGAACATCAAGTTCATCACCGGGATCATGTGGAGGAACATTATTGGCCAGAGTTTCTACCAGATTGCTGTCCTTTTGGCTCTCAAGTTTTGTGGAATCCGGCTTTTGAAGCTCACCGGTTCAGATGCAAATTCCGTTCTCAATACCGTTATCTTCAACTCTTTTGTGTTCTGCCAGGTACTACCTTCTGATACATTGTTTTCTCTTTGTTCATATCTGTCTAAACATTTATTTTGGTCAATTTTACACCCAGGAATGGCCAATTTAGCTCATATATTTACTTAAATTCCATTCAAATTTCGTCTAAAAACGTCACATGCTGCTCGTTAAATGATATTTGTTAATTTTCTTTTCTAGAAATGTGACATCTCTATAAAACGTGGGTAACAAGAACGTAGTGGGTAAATTGGTCATTTACAATAGTTTAAAGGCGGGAGAAACTGATCAAAATAAAAGTTCATGGGAAATCGACACAAGTTTTTGTTTATACAGGTGATCTAATTTTGCATGTCTTTCAGGTATTCAACGAGATAAACAGCCGTGATATGGAGAAGATCAATGTGTTCAGTGGCATGTTCAGCAGTTACACCTTCATGATGGTGATGATCTCCACCGTTGTTTTCCAGATCATCATAGTTGAATTCTTGGGCAAGTTTGCACAAACTGTGCCACTGAGTTGGGAGTTGTGGTTAACAAGCGTCCTGATCGGCGCTGTAAGTTTGCTCGTCGCTGTCGTCCTCAAGTTCATTCCTGTTTCAGTCAGGAAACAAGAAGTTTCCCGGGATCACGAGGATGTCTACGAACCTCTCCTCCGTGGCCCTGACCTTGCATGAAAGATCGAAACTGCTTGTTCGTGAAAGATTTTTGTGCAGAACTATGGAGGAATCTCTTCAGTTTTTTTGTTGTATGTTTGCGCAACATTTTTTCGACACCATTTCTCGTCATTTTTGGTTGTACATTTCAGTGTTCATTGAGGTCAGCTAGAAATCAGTCTTCTTTTCGCCATTTCGGTTGTATTTATACGAACTCAACTTCAATTTGCTTGCGTTCTGGCGTTGCAGTAGAGTTGATTGGCAGGGCTTCAGTGGTTGTAAGTCGAGTTGAATGCGTGAGCTTCGGTGGTATATGCTGTAGAGACGGCAGTGAGTGTGCGTGCTGGGTCGAGTTGGGTCGATTGCAAATTTTCCTAGGTAAACAAGATTGGGTTGCAATGAGAGTAGTGAGCGAGATGAACGTTTGAGGCTAAATATATAACGCTAGTTTTGACTATCAACAACAACAACAAAGCCTCATTACCGCGCTCGGTTTTGAGCCAAGTCCCCATTACCAGTAATTGAGAGTAATTGAGATGTTCGTCCTCTTCGACGGTGTCTCCGTATTCCCAGTAATTAAGATGTTCGTTCTCTTCGACGGTGTCTCCGTGTTCCGAAAATCCCTATTCCGGACATCATTCCCAATAGGTAGTCTCTCCATGTTCCCAGAATCAGTATATGGAGCATCCTTCTTTATTGGCATTCTCTCCTCTTTCCCAAATTCAGTATTTGGGACATTCTTCCTCTGTGTGTTCCCAGATTCAGTATTTTGGGACATCTGTTATCTCGTTTTCTAAATTCGCATTAGAGACAGATGGTGCACTCTTTCGAGGAACAATTGAAGAGAAAAAGTCCTCTACAAGATCTATCAAACTCTCTGAAGTAGAAGAAGAGAATTCAGGCGCAAAACTCGTACCTTTTCCTCTATTTGATGGTTCTATCTTGAGCTTCCGCATTTCATCCAACCACTTTGCGGCATTCTTCAACAGCTTCCGACAATGGTCAAAAGAGTTCAATGACAAGTGACTCACTTTAGATTTTGAGTCAGTGTCCAAGAAAACACACGAGCTACAACGCAAATGCATTACAGTCAACTTCACCTCATAAATGCAACAAAACCCATCAGAAGCAGAAAAAACCTACCTTTGGAAAACTTCGTCCAGACCTAGTTAACTGTTGTGACACAACTTAGGATAACTAGAACAAAAATACAATACATGGCTTCTCTAACATTCTTTACATTTTACACAACCAAAGTCCTCAGTAGTTGATGTGATTCTGAAAGACATTATCCAGACTCTCGTTACAAAAACACAGTATCTAAGACTCCGACTATGTCATCACCTGTTTAGATATCGTCTACTTTGGTGAAGGGTCAGCCTGCTTTTTGACAAATAGCTTTCCTACATCTTCTGTAACAATGTTGCTCCTGGACCCAAAAATGAAAATAATGATGTGAGATTGAAAAACTCTTAACGTAGAACAAAGTTGGCATATTTAACGTTGCTCAACAGACACAATATGCCAAGTTCAGGGATTGCCACCATCCGGAAGAAACAAGGACCATCAGTTTAGAATTCTTTCCCAATGCATCGATTTCTAAAACTTCACCAAACACAAAAAAAATTGAATTTGTTCTATTCCTAAAAAAATTTCCCATGGCTTTAGTTTTAGCAAGATTCATGCAGTGACCTAGAAATACACAAACCTGACCCTGTACGGTAGAAGACAGACTTGACAAAAGTTTTCCGATGAGTATCCTATCCCATGAAGTCCAATCATAGAATCAAATACAATGCAGTAGTAAACAACCCAAATCCATCGTTTCATGTAAAAGCAAAGGCAAAAGGATGAACCATTATAAGTATTCAGGAAACCTATGAATATAGAGTAGTGCAACAGAATTCTTATCAAGGACCAACTTAAAAAGAGTCCACTCCATTAAGTCATCACAACGGTTAAACAGGCCAATATCACACACTCCACGAGTGCAACTCTTCCCCCACTTAGGAGAGTCCATCCCATTAAAATTGATAAACATTTTGTATCTGCAACATGCTGTACAGAATATGGTTCTCTCTCATGTGTTAATTCTACAACGAATTGCGAAGAATAGGGGATGGTTTTAAGGGATAATTTCTTTTGGTTAAACCTTCACTTTAACCCCTATTCAACTCATAATTTAATTGAACAGGTAATTTTTAATCCTTTTAGATGTGAAGGCCAAAGTCAGAAAATCCATCCACTGTAATGGTATAATTTTCACTACAACTCATCGCATATACAAATCTACTAATCTTTTTTGTTATCATAATAGCATGATCTACCTGTAACGCAAGTTTAGTTAAAATTCCAAAAACAAATTGGCAAGTTAGTATTTAAACCTCAAATCACAACCATACAAACTTAGTGCAAGTCATGAGCAGACATATGCATGCAAAAGTGTATCTCTAAATCTCTATATCGCTAAACAGTTAAACAAAACCAGAACCTAAAGGAAAAATTTTAAATGCTAAATAAGCTGTGGGAAATGGAAAAACATATATATTGAAACTGACCTTCCACGAAGCTGAGGCGGAACCAGCAGACCACCAACATGTATCTGGAACATTCCTGGAATGAGGCAAGTTACCTCTAGGAACTTTATTGCGAGGAACAGAGGAAGCAAATGCATTCTCCCTCTTGCGTGATGAACTCTCCACCATTGCAGCTGCAACACGAGAAGAGTGGTCGCTGCCACTCAACATATTGGATGAGGAAACAGGAGAATTCAAGAGCATTGAAGCATCAGGAAGTTGCTGGATTGAAGGAGCTGATGAAGGGGCAGAACTTTCCGGCTGCTGGTATGATGAAACAACCAATCTATTACACAGAAAACAAACAAAACCAAATTAAAATACAACCGAAGTAAGGGTAAGCTTATACAGGACACTGTACCTACTTTTCCAGCTGTGAAAAATTTAGGACTGCTATGAAAAACCCTCTTTTAGTACAACATTATGCAACACTATCATGTGAAATAATATGAAACCCTAGAAATATTTAAAATAATAAAATAAAACAAGACAGAAAATAAAATGAAATTTTCTTTAATATATGCCTTTCTCTAAGTTTTAATTTCCGTCAGACCTCAGCTTAGCCAAGTTGACCCCTTCTGCACTCAAGTTCGAATTCCAAACCCACCCCACACACCCCCGCGTGCGCGGAGGCGAGCTTAAAGGTATTTAGTGTAGAATATCGCTTGTATCAAAAACAAGTTTATAACTTCCCTAAACATGGGAAATAACCCTCATTCTGGCTAAGCTAATTACAATATGCTTCTTCCTAAAAGTCCTTGAATTTACCTTTCTTATTTACAACCCACATATGCAAAAATTAACAGCATCCCAACACGTAGTTTTCTACAAATTAAACAAAACAAAAATAATAGAAATTACTCAGAATATCATAAATTAAAAAACCATAACAAAAATAGTGATAAATTCGAAAGAAGTAAAAGATTTCAACTTTATCGATGAAATTGAATAAACTGAGGGGGGGGGGCGTGAATTACTGGGTGTGAGGACGTGGATCGTCGCTGGGTAATTGTTGCTGGGGCTCGTTTTCCTTGTTTTCCCTAACCTCCTCCTCCGATACGTCGTCGTCTGAAGATGGGTAGTCCACCAACGACATCTTTCGGCTTTTCCACTTCACTCTTCACTTTTTGCCGCTGCCGTCTCCGCTGTTTCTTCACGTCTGCGCAACCCAAGGAATGAAAAGTAAAACGCCCCTCCTTTGTAACTTTTTTTTTTTTTTTTTTTTTTGCGTTATCCACACAACTTATTTTACTTCTTACATATCATTTGATAATATCTGTTCGTTAATCTTCTTCAATTTATTTGATCCGACGGCTGAAAATTAAAAAGTGTGTGAGAAGTAAAATAGGGTGTGTAGATATCACACCACTTTTTTTTTTTTTTAATTATTTCTTGGCATAAATTTTTATATTTTGGGACTGACTCGAACAATATTCTTTAATTTTTCTTTTATGGTATGTGCCCCTGTAGTGGTTCCGAAAATCAACTTTAGATCTTGCACAAAATTATATGGATAAAATATATATCTTACTGAGACGTAATATTGTGCCGGATTTCAAATTTCTAATTTAATTTTAAGTTTTAAATTACGAAATGGGTATACAAAGTTTTAAATCCAGATGTTCTAACCTGGGTGAGACTTAAAATTGTAACTTAGTCTCAATGTGGAACACTACTTAATACTACAATTACTGAAAAGTATGAGTTTGATATCAAATTATTATGATAAAAGTCTTCGAGGGAGACCATCATAAGCACCACCTTGCACCACTCTTTTATATTTGCCTTAGCTGGCTTGTTTGCCTCAAGATAGGCCTTCTTGTTTTCTTTGACATATCTGTCTGGATAATGCATTATCTAGTTCTCCGAAAAAAGAAAAAAAAATGGTCTTAGAGTGACTTTTGCTTTAATTCTCGTTCTCGATGATTTCGAAATATAGACGGTCGTATTCTTTTTACAAGCCATATTGAAAGAGAAAAATTCAAACAAATAAAAACTCTTAACCATGTAAGCTACTGTGACATTTTGGGTATGATTTACAAGCAATAGCCATAAAACTAATGTTATGCAATCTCACCAAAAAATTCACCATCGGAAAAACAATCCGATAACCAAGCGTTCTCCCGATACATTATCCCCCGGCAGAATGCTATACGAAACTACGACAACAGTGCTTCTTACGACATAGTTTAGAACTGATAAAATTACATGCAAAAGAGAGAGGTTCCACATCAAAGCCCCTGACCAAGAAGGGATGGCCTGTAAAATGCATGGGTTTGTGCGATTGCAATACGGTCCCGAGGATCGTTCATGGTCTCGTCCCGCAACGCTTGAAGAATAGCCTGCGACGGAAACTCCCTAAAGATTCACATAACGAGATGACATCAAATTCACTTCTAGTATGATTCACATTAATTTGAACTAGCTTGATCAAAATGATATTGGCTTAGTTTCATTTGGAAAAAACAGAGAAGTAATACCTAGTTATGAGTATTCTATATAGCATCTTCAAGATAGGGCAAAGCTCAACGGGAGCAACGGGCTTCTTCTCATCGGGATGCAGGATACTTAAGGAGGGCTGACTTAGCAGCTCAAAAAATGCTTTCACAGCAGAGACCCCCTGCAAGATACAAACGGTCTCATCATTACAGAGTTCCAATAAATGAAAGCGCCGTCTTTTGCACTCTTTCAAGGAGCCAATCTCCTTTAATTGAGACAAGATAATCCACACATATTTTTTACAGCAACAGAAAGCAGTCACATGACAGAACAAACATACAGATCCTTACTCTAAGAGGTAATTATGACACAGATAACTCGAAACAAATTTTTTTTAAGGCTTTTTAGCCAAAATGGTCTTTGAGATTTGCATTACTTCTCATTTTGGCCCTTGAGATTTGAAATCAATATAATTGGTCCCTAAGTTTGTCCACCATCAATCATTTTGGTCATTCCTTGAAAAATCTCCATTAAATAAGAATAGAATGACCAAAATACCCTTAATTTTTGTCAAATCATTTTCACCCATTATTTATTAAATTGAGGGTATATTTGTCATTTTGATCCTTATTTAACATAAGTTTGCACGGAATGACCAAAATGATTGATGGTGGACAATCTCAGGGACCACTTCTATTGATTTCAAATTTCAGGAACCAAAGTAATGTGTTATGCAAATCTCAGGGATCATTTTGACTAAAAAAAACCTATTTTTAAAGCATATTAGAAGAGGACTTGGTCTATTTGGAACCAAAATATGAGATTCAAGCATCATTGTACCATATATTCGATATGATCCTTCTTTCCACAACTGTATGTGGCATTAAAGTACAGAATCAGCAAGGTCCAGTATGTTCATGACTTGTGAATATCTAGACAAGAAAGCTACAAGCAGCCACCAGAATATTGTTTTTGAAATAACTCTTTGGAATGCGATTTTAAGTTATATGATTCGTGATTGCAAGCACTTGTCTTTTTAATCATTGCAAAGATCTGGAAGGTTTCCCATTGAACTTATTAGTCAAATCTATGTCATCAGGTCAAAGCCCAGATTTCATTAAACAATAATAATGATGCAAGGCAAAGCTCTGCTTGTTACTCCATAAATATGAAGTCGATTGAGATCTGTACCTGAATCATACCCTTGCCCTTTATGCTATCACCCATTTCAAGGTTTAACTCCCCTTTCGCCAGCTTTTGTCCATACCATGCATTGCGACCTTTCAACAGGGTAACATACGTGTCAGCCAACAAAGGCCCTGCCAGCTTCTCTGGTTCTTCTGCCAACAGATGAGTGATAAAAATCATCTCTGATGTACAATGTGCGAAGTATACTGATTTGCTTGTGGCGCTCTCATTGGTTAATGCTGCTACCATTCCTGTTAGGTCATGATTCAAAGTTGAATGTATTGATTAAAGCCTTCAAATACATACTCTTAGAAATGAGCTTAAATTGATCAATTATAATTGCCTACAACGTTTAAGGATAGCACTTGTACAACAAAGCAAATTCCAAGATAACATATATATCAGGCCAATATAAGGCAAAAATCATATATATCAACCTCCAATTGACACAAGATCTAATAAAGGTAATTGACATGGAAATCCAAATGCGGCAATGGATGTTTTGCAAGAAAATTCAGTCAGTCACCCAAAGACAGGATTGCAACACATGAATCTTTCTTTAGACAACTTCAATTGTGACGCACACACATGCCCACACACACATAGGGAACTTCTGTTGCCAGACTGTAACCAGAACAGTTAACTAAATAGAATTATGTTTGAGTGTCCATTATCCTTCGAATTGAATATGGGAGAGATCCTCTCCTAAAATAAGAATGCTCAAGTTTAAGAGAATGTAAGGTTTGTTGTAGGCTTGTAGCAAAAATGTATAAATTTAAGAGTATGGCTAAATAGCTTTCCAAATTTATTTAATGACATTATGGAAATGAGACTGATATTTGAGGTCCATTAGCAATTCCTTATCTAACATGCATACTTAGGTCTATAGACATTGAATCATCATAAACCATGTTTCCAAGTTGAAGTGAGGCCATCAATGAAATTTTGGAGTCTTAAGCATGCCTCAGTTATCTACTTCGGTCGACGAAGTAGATAATTCAAAATCCCAACAATATATATGTTTTGCATGCGTATCATTTTGTGGAATGAAGCAATTATACACACAAATGCAGCATCTTTTGGTTAATTATCAAAGCCTACTCATATTTCAGCTTTGCCAAAAACCAAAGTAAAATATGATTTGGCATAATCTTGCAATTCCTTGCTCACAAGTCGTCTCTCTCTCTCTCACTCACTCATTTATTTTATTTAGTTCATGAAACTACACCACCTCAGACTTTTTAGTCATTCTAGTATGTGTTAATTTGCAGTGCAGTCCGACCATTTAGGGTTAAATTCAAGAAAAGGTCTGACTCTCTTAACGTTTATCAAATAGGAGATGTAATGAACAGAATCTTACCAGCTCCAATGGCATAGACGTTCTTTAAGCCACCCATAACTTCATGAGTAACAAGGTCCCCATTGTCCCATACTATAAAGTGGGGTTGCCTTAAAAACTTAGCCAAGGGCTTTCTCCACTTGTCAGCTCCGCATATCCGAGCATTGGCATATTCGTTGTTGTAAATCTCAGAGGCAATATTGGGTCCTCCAAGGTAGAGAATGTTCTCATTGGGAACACCAGCTGAAAAAAAAAAGAGTACATATTAAGAGAACAGAATAGCCAGGGTAAAAAACGTACGAGGTAATTAATTGACTGAATATCTATCATAACCATACAACCATTTTATGAAGTATGAACCACTCTAATAGCATAAAATAAATAAATAAATAACTAAAGATTACTTTTATAATCAGAAAGAAAACTCCACTAAGAATCTCAAGGCCGTCAACTCAATGGAGGGATTATCAAACAATTATAAAACACACTAAGTAAATAACTCAGCATCAAAGAGCACCCGAAATGATGAAACAGATAGCAGAAAACAACCAAGAAGAAATGCTCAAGGATAAAAATAGGTATCAGAACCTTAGCTACCAGTGCATTGACCCTAAAAACATTGTTAACAATCCATGAAAAGTATGGAATCAGCCTTACTTGCTCGATTGATAATTTGAGTGGGCGTAATTATGCGTGGTTCAGGCTCCAATTCAGCCTCAACACCTTTTGAAAGAGAGATAATGACTGGCATTGTTACTCTCTCTTTCCAGTACCTACTAATTTCTTCAAAGACCACACGAGTTTCTGTTGATGGCAGCCCATTCACCACAATATCAGCATCCCAAACAGCCTCCTGCAAATTTGTGACAACCTTCATAGGGCAAAGAGGGGTATCAATCATATTCACACAAAACCCATCTTTGAGTAACTCATCTGCAAAAAGCGTCCGATCACCTAATCTTGCCTCAACATATTTTAAATACGCACACCGCCTAATCAGTCTCCTCAGCACATCCTCCCTTGAATTGATCACTTCAAATAAATGTTCTGCTGTTGCTCTATCAACCGATCTTCCTGGTCTTCTCCATATTCTTATTAGGACCTTATCTCTTAAATGACCATAACTATCTTGCAACATAGCAACAAAGACACTTCCCCAAGCACCTGCACCTACACCAACTATCCTAAGTGGATCACCTTCTGCTTTGCCCATTAAACGCCGAAGATCATCAAGCTTCTGCTCAACAGAATCACTTGATTGGTGAAGCAACCCATTTGAGTAGACCTTATCGGTCACTCCATCAGTACTCCCAACCATTTTCTTCTTCTTTTTCTTCGTCCAATTAAACTCGTCTCCAAGCAACTTAAGATATGCACAGCCAATTACAACAACAAATGCTCACAGACACTACAAACGTTTCCAATATTATACTCACTGAGAAGCGAAATCACGATCAAACTGACAACGATCAATCGCAAGAAGATCTCTTCGCTCTTTGAAGCTGCAAAACCTAACTTCCTAATTCCTAAATTCAAACAAACATACAAAGTTTGAAACAACTCACATCTGATTTTGTATCATAGATTTACACCACCCTCAACTGCACAGCTCAGATCAACAAATCACCACAACAAAATCGATTCGGAAAAAAACTTTAGATTTTCTTGGTGGGGTTTTCACCAAAATCTAAACAACCCCTTTGTCAAACTTCCAGAAACCTTTTTCCCCTAAGACACTTCAGATTCTACAAAATTTCAACAAATACCCAAGAGGGTTTTATATCATTGGGTTTTAGATCACCCCCACACAAGATTTGCAATTCAAACACGCAAAGCAAAAACATTTAAAACTCTCAGCCAGAAGGTTCGCCTATCCACCCACCAAAACCAGTCAACACAAACAAAGCAAATGTAAAACTTTAAAGGGAAGAAAAAAGAAGAAGTGACAAACTCTACTTTGCGTTTGCCGACGCGGTTATATTGACCGACCGACTTAACATTGTCTTCTTCTAATTCATACGCTGAAAGCCTGCAAATCAAAATGTGTAGCAAAAAAAGCTGTCAAATTTGACACCTTTTGCCGACGAACGCAAAAGGGTTGTCGTCAGCGGATATCAAAAGAGGAACTTTGAGGTCGAAAACTTGTTTGGTGATGTGGGTTTTGGAGTGTGAAATAGGAAAGTGGCTGGAAATGAAATTGCTTGGCCTCCTCTCTCTACTCTTCTGCTCTAATGGTTACGTTTTGTCTGGATGAAGAACAAGTGTGCAGAGCTCGTGATTGCCTTCTACGCGACAGCAGCTTAGGCGTTCACGTTGTCGAGAAACGGAGACTGTTGGCTGTTGCTGTTGGTCAGATTTTGTCACACCTCCCAAAGAGAGCAACCTACTCTGTTTATCTTTCGACTAATTGTGCTCCTTTGCTGTTAAGCATAAAAACAAATTCACTCGTTACGTGTCACATAACACTTGTTATATATCCCTTATGATTTTTTGTGACGTATAATAAATGATCGAGTGGATTGAAATAAAATAGATTGACGTAAGATAAAAGAACATAATGGAAATTTGCACATTTGTTATCTAAGCTCTGATATAGGCCTATGATACTTTTGGGAAAGATAACGACACCCTCATTTCAAATTTACAACTTTGATGTAATATATGATTGATTTCAATTATCTAAGGCTGTTTATGCTTCCAAAACAGCATTTTTTAAGTTCTGCACTAAAAATAGTACTTTTTATTTGTCGTCCAATTAATGTTATTTACCTTCGTTTTAATTACCTAAGAACTTTGAGTGTACCGTAGAGTTGAAATCAAATTATTTAAGCCAATGATTGCTTCCATATTAATCATCAATTAAAATTTTTAATAAAATACAACCTTTGACATTTCTTTTAAAAACAGGTAGATTCCAAACTTTTAGTTCTTCAAAGATTTACGCTTATAATCCTAAGCTTCGTGCTGCGTCGGTTGGTGAACACAAATGCCCCTTGCAAAGTTTGGAATATTTAAGCTTAGATATTGCACGTAAGCACACAGAGAAGCTAAGTGATCCCTTGAAATGGTATAGATTGCATTGCAGGCCTTGACGCTGTTAGCAGAGACTTGTAAATAGATATTATTATGTACTTGCACCACATAGATACTGAACTCCGTTGCAAATTGTTTGAATTAAATTTCAAAATTTTGGATTTGTGGTTTTTTTATCAGCTATACGAACTTGCAGTATGAATTCGGACGTCATTTGTATTTTGTTACTTGTTTTTTGTAAGAAATAACATGAAGTATATCAAATACAAGAGCACTACAGTTGCTAACTCATATTTCCAGCAATACGTCAATCTTTCTAGCACGCACCTAAATTCATCTAATTAACTGCAACAAAAACTTATACAGATCAATCGATACTCAACCAGAGAAGAACCAGAAAACAACTACTACCTTGGATCCTAAAATTCTGGGATGCATGCAGGTGATCACGGCGTGTAAATTATCAAAGTCCACAGTAAAATCCCAATACGAGACTAAATTAAACCTAAAATATATAGAATTAAATCAGTTATATAGAATTAAAAGCATCACTAATTAACTAACTAATTATTTTAAACTCCCAACAAGATATAATTAAGTTAAGCCATCTTGTTATTCATGACTAGATACTGGCTGATATCTTCGTACTGATCATCGTCTCTCACTACCTGATGAGAAGCCTGCACTTGATGAACTTGATGAGATGATGAAACGCTAGCCGGCAGCACTGGATACTGCAAGTAGGGCACAGCTGGCTGCTGCATGAGTCGAGCTGAATAGTACTCCTGCCTCATCATATTCATATTCATATTCTCCACCGTTGACTGAACTATCATCGGGTTATTGAAGTTACTGTGATGCCGCCCTTCAAATGGCAATTGAGAATTACTGCCGGAAGCCCCTCCGGTTAACTGGAGACTACTATAGTTGTATTTGCTCTCCATCAGCATCCACATCGCCAGCGGACCCGGATTATTGTTAGGAGCCAAAACGCTATTCACATACTCATTTGAATTATCGAATCGAAGCATTTGATCGGAAGGGTGCTGCTGCTGCTGATGATGGTCAAATGATGGGACTGGAAAGGGCTGGAGGATCTCTACCATATCCATATTACTACGATTCCAAGAGCAGCTCGTCATAGGATTTTTGTCCTCCACATTGTTATTATTTTGATCCGGTTTGTAATAATTACAAGGCTGCTTTTGGGTTGATGAACAAATATACTGGTGTTCAGCAGGCCGGTTCCTCTTATGAAGCAATGTTCTCTTGCCAGCCTCGAGCTTAGCATCCAATGCATTCAGAAGCAGCTCCAGTTCATTGTCGGAGAAATTTTCAATACGTTCATCCCATGTTGGGTACTTGGCCTCGTACATCTCCTTGCGCGCTCTGTAGGTATCGACAGTGTACCTTTGTCTTTCGATCCATCAACAGGTCGGACAAATTGAAGGTTTTCTTGGCTGGTTTGCACGTGGTGCTTGCCTTGTACTTGTTGATTATGCGATTGACCTCACTCGGGTTTCTTGGCCACGTGTGGAGTTCGGGACTACGACCAGATTGTTTCGGGCCATAGATGATCATGCACACATCTAGGTCACAAAGAGTGGAAATCTCGCCGGCCTTCTTCAGAATTCCCTTCGTTCTCTTCTGAAACGTTGTTTTTCGAGCTCTTTCGTTCGTTATGAGTTCCATATTCAGCCTCCCGCGACCCATTTTCCTCTACTGCTCCAAGAAAAAAGAAACTTACATTCTTTTGAATAGAATTTGAAATTTGTCCAAAGAGTTGTATATTTTTCATTTGTAAGCTTTTGTTTGACTAGTACTCAATATTTTTTTATTAGAAAATAGGCATAAATAAAAGCGGTTACAAAGTTTAACCAAAAATAAAATTAAGCACCCAATAGATAATAATCCTTATATGAACAACAATTTAGTGTCTATTTATGCATATTTTTCATTTTATTTAAAGGGTTTGCTTACAAATGTGAAAGTAGAAAAAAAAAAAAAAAAAAAAACAGAAGGAGAAACCCTAATTACCATTCCAGTCGCACACAGGGAACTCCAATTTTTAATCAATTTACACGCAATATCACGAACCCAAAACACAATAAAATTTCTCAATGTTTTGAGATTGACGAAAGTAAATTAGCAGAATATATATATGTCATGATATGAATGAATAATTTCCTATTAATAATTAGTAAAAATAAAATATGATAAAAAACAAACCCAGTACTACACATGGTATGGGGAACACATACAGAGAACAAATTGATAACCAAACGGGATATTAATTAACAAAAACGTAGGTATTTACAAAGAAAAAAAAATTATTTAAAGGTTCGTTTGTAAATGCTTTTAAAATGGCTGAAATTGTTTTTTATAAAAAAGTTTTTGGAGCTAATTTTTAGTAAAAATGGACGTGAATCCTTGTAATCCACTTGAAGTGCTTAGTAAGAAGCATTTATTTTGTGCTTGTAGTAAGAAGGACTGCCAAGTGCTTTTGGAACACAAAATATTTTCTCTAAAAATACTTTAAGTCATTTCAAAAACATTTCCAATCCAGCCCTAGAAACAAACTCAATGAAAATTAGCCGATTGAAACATGAAAAGAAGAGGAGGAAAGTAATTACAAGAAAAAATGTAATTGTACAAAATACATGCGTGGAATTCTCATACAACAATATTTCACATATACTTTCTGAAGTAATCAATCTACCAGTTCACAATAAAAATGGCTTCTCCTATAGCAGTAACAAATTAAAGCGTTTTATTCCCACATAGGAAAAACCAATTTAAAGGCATATTCAAATTTAGAGGTGAAAAATGAAACGTATGAAACAGCCATGAATAAACAGAAGATGATCGATACAGTAATTGAACAGTACGTACCTTTAATGGCTTCCAACAAGTTTTTGCCGTTTGGAGAAGAGAAAATGGCTTCTTAAACCTCCTTTTTGTGAGATCTAACACTATTCTTTCCTTCATCTATATATGGATTATGGAAGAGGGATGGCTTGCCTTGCCGTTTACTGCACAATTTAAAAACGCAATCATAATTAATTCCTGATATTTTGGTTAATTAAGGTAATCAGACAATAAATTATACATGCCAAATTCAGCAAATGCATATATCAATTAGAAGAGATTATTCAATGCATATGGAACGAGGCTTGGTACACCAGTATAATTGGTTGAATTTTTTATTTCAAATTTTCAACCAATTATAATGCAATCGGATGTGTTTGTGGCAACACTGGAAAAAAAAATCCTCAATTAGCTGTTGTTTGAAAAGAAAATAGAATCAATTACGCATTATTTCAATTCCATTTATCGGCTTCTTGAACTTTTGATTTATTATATTGCTGCAAGCAATTTCATTTGCACATTAATTAGTTACACAACCTTTTGACGAAATACTATATTATACTGTAACTAAATACTATTATTATTTTATTATAAGAGAAGAAATCAATTTTGAAAACTGCCTAGAGCACCATATTGCATTTGGTCTAATGATAGTTGTCTTCATTTAGTTGAAAAGAATGAGGATTCTCTTTGTGAGGATCTTAGGAATTCTTATATTGTGTTTGTTCATCGTACATCATGCAATTAGTTTTCGTCCAGGTACTATTTGTGTTTAATTTTAAATAAAAATATTTAAAATGATTTCTGACCACACAATGTATAATGAGCGGACACGATGTGAGGATTTCCAAAATCCTCACAAAAAGAATTGAAAACGATTATCATTCAGTTGAAAGAGATCTTAAAATTAAGTCTCGTGAACTGCTCTTTTGCTTGGAGGGCAGAGATTGTGATTGAAGACATTCGACAAATCAGTGTATGATTCAACACTCTCTCTTGGGTTACACGATCTCCTGAGTTGCTTTGATGTAGGCCTTTTTAATATGATTGTATTGGGGCTAGAGGTGTGGTAAGGAGAGATTTTTTTTTTTTTTTTTTTTGTAACAACTTGGTTCACGAAGTATCATTATATAAATGAGGAGAAATTTATTTTTTCGAGTGTCTAATAATCTCTCATTTATTTAAATAATATTTTATAAACCACATGACATGAATGTGGATCCATGAATTATTAAATGCTTGTTTAATGAGTTTATGTGTGTGACAAGTAACTAATCTCCCTAGCATTTTTCATTGTAAATTGTATACCCGCCATGCCATAGTTATAAAATGTTGAGTACAATGAGTTGGACCTTTAAATTTCATCCCTTTTTCCGACATTTTTTAATTCACCACTACATTTCGAGTTCAAAACTCTCATGTTTGTTTGAAGCTTCTATTTTTTATCTCTGTCATCAGATGCAACTTTTAGAGAGAGAACTTCTGGAGAACTATAAACGTTTTAATCCAGTCATCATGCATGGGCTGATGGGCAGCTTGGGGCACATATGATGAAAGGTTTAGCTGGGCATACAAAAGGCATTGTTCCTATTCAGTTTAAGTCTGATTTACGTTTCGCGTACATTCAAAAAAATTTCATGAGTTCGAAGAAAGAGAAGGGGAGGATTTATTAAATTACGTAGTTTGAGCTCGGAAAATATAACTAAGCAGTGACAAATACTGGACTATATCTCCTCGTGACCAAAAACAGCAAATGCAGGGTACATCTCCCACCTTTTTTTTTTTTTTTAAGGGAACTTTAACTGATACTGTTTACTTTAACGAAAAATCATATTTTTACACTAAAAATCAATCTTGATACTATTCACTTTACCCTTTATTTTGTTATTTTCATTAAAACTCAAAGTTTTTAAGTCATTATTTATTATTATTATTATTTATTATTATTATTTTTTAAGCCTGATGTATTACATGCCCCAAAAGAATTTGACTAATCTTTAGTGGGATTCAAAAAAGCTAAAGACATTTCAGTCGACTTGGCATAGTTAAATAACACATGTCTTCGCAAAGCCATCAACGAGAAAGCCACCTGTATTTTTACCAACTTGGTGCCTCGAAGCCAAAACAAAAAGGCAAACCTAACTTAAAATTCCACCCAATTACGACCGGGTCACTTGCCTTGGTTTACGTCCCCTACCCTTTAGGATGCCAAGCCATCTTTAGGATCTGAATCATTCGGAATACCTATAGTACCCCCAGTTATTTTAGAAAATGACAGCGTTTATCCTTGCTCTCGTTCCGTCGGTCGTCTCTCCCATCTCCTCCCGTTGCTCTCTCACTCCAGTTGTCCTTGGGAACAAGGTAACTTCCTCTCTCTCTCTCTCTCTCTCTCACTCTCTCTCTCTTCTCTCTCTGTGTGTATATATATATATATACACATATTTCAGTTTAGTTTTTGTGATTTTATTGTTTGGTTAATTTAATTTGGGTGCAGTGGATTTGGACTAGGGTTGTATCCAATTATTGGTTAGGACATTGGTTTTCTTTGTTGCCAATTGAATATACGTATGATTACGTTTGTTGAATTGCACTGCTTTAAATGCTTTTTCCTAACTCCAGGCCTTGAAATTGATCTAATTTGCAAAAAATAATTCACTCCTTGGCATATTAATTTCTTATTAATTTTATTCCTTGTGTGTGATGATGAGCTATTATTGTTCAATCGGTTGCATCGTGATCATTCAAATTTTAGATTGTATGTCGATATATAGTATATAGCCAGCGCTGGTGTTTTTGAGGTTGTTCTTGGAGAGCTTTGAGTTCGAACCAATACAGCTCAACTCAACATTTGTGTCAACCATTGGAGTTGCCATGTCTCGTTCTTGACATCACGATATATTGGTTAACAATGTCACTAGTTGATTTGTTTTTCTTGACATGTTTCTCTCTCTAGGCATCGTAAATATATATATATATATATATATATATGGTCATGAACTCGTTGAATTTTCTCTGCGTACAAGTATTGTGTTTTCAGTCCTTTTCTTTGTTGGTGCGGATAGCTGAACATGTGCAAGGGGGGATCGTGAACCACAGATCATCGCAGCGTCCCAATTTGTTACATTCAAGGAGGTCAGTGATCATAACAATCCTAGATATAAAAAGCGACACTTGGTTATTAAAGAACTAACCTACGGAAATAATAGAAGAAGAAATCTTGCAGTACAGTGGTGTAAATAATCCATTCCAAAAGTATTAAAGTTCTGTCACTAAAAGTGGTAAGAAAGACTTTGGAGGTCCCAAATGCTTGTAAGCCTCTCATTCGGAAGCAGCAAAGAAAGACTTTAGAGGTCCCAAATGCTTGTGGTGATTTTGTAAACTCAAACATGAGTAGTTAAAGTGTACACACAAGTCATATTTGTGAACTGATCTTGTTATGCTATTTGAGTCCTTGTGAATTGGTTTGATACTCGGACCTAATGTGTTGTATAATTTCATGTTACTGATGTTTATGTTGGAGCAATTATTTGGCTGATGGTATTGTAGGCATCTGTGAAACATATTTAACATTACAGTAATTTGTTCACAATAACTTGTTCTTTTTCGGTCAAAGCTTAGCTCTTTTCGGCAAACAGACAAATAACTAGCATTTCCCAACATGTCCTTTTTGGTTACTGAATACAGTTACGACACTTTTACAAAAAAATTTACCAAACATCTTGTTTTTCTCAAAGCGTTATTATAATACTTTACCAAACACGTAGTTGTGTATTCCACAACACAGCAGAAACAATTTTTTTTTAAAAGCTCAACAATACTGAACTGTCCCTCAGTACTGTTAAGTATGTTGACTTATGCCAAGGAAACTCCAATCCAACCATCATGGAAATCAGGACAGAACCTTGTGTAGTACAACTACTATTTGGTGCACTGGGCAACCTACCCACTCACATTCCATTGACTTATTATGTGCCCTTCATGGGGCAATTATTGCTCCTTGACCACAACTTTTGGCTCTGAAATGAATATGTAAGTGTTTCTTTTATATGTTAGATTCTTTTCATATCTAATTGTTTCTACACTTGCTGGTATATCTGGTCAACTGGCACTGATGAAATCCTTGAAATTTGTGCCTTTGACATAACTTGGACCTTTTTGTTGTGTCAGATTTTCCAACAGCTTTTTCTGTAGTCACTGGAGAAGCAACATTAGAGTTATCAATGATTTTAAGTGAGACATCCGTATTATATTTAAGGTAAGTTAGGTACTTAGCCATATTGTTCTTGATATTCTGTGGTTTGTACTAACTGAACAGTGGATTTTGTAAATATTTGAGTACCTTTAGAGGAAAGAGTACCTGTGTTAACTAAACTGAATTCTTCTCTTTAGCTAACAAACTAACGTTGTCGAAAGTACTTAAATTCATCTTCCAAATATCAACCCCTATCACCTCATGAAATTTTGTCTGGACCCCGTCTTGTGAATATTCTCAAGCTAGGGTCCTTAGCGTCCAACGACATTAATAAAGCTGAAGCTTTGCTTTATGTTGTGGTGATTCTAGTCTTCTGAGAGTCACTGGTGTTTTGAGTGGTTTGTGAAACAGAGGAAACCATTCTGAGCCAATGCATTTGTAATTATGAAGGTGGCCTTGGTGTCAAAGAACTTTACAATCACTATGTTGTACAGTCAACAGTGATTAAACAAGTGCATGAATTGTTTGGATAACTGAATACCTATTCTAACTTTCTGAGACCAAGATGGAAGAATCTCTTAGACAGCAAAAGTTTTCTCCTTTTTGAGTTCACTTTCTTTATAGATCATTCTTTCTGCCGATGTTGAATGAGCATGAAGGTGGATGACATTGTAGAATTTCATTAACTTTGATATTGGATGGTTGAAATAACAGGTATGAAAAATCATGGATAATATATGATTAGTTAGCCAAACTGAATGCAGTGGTGTTCTAGGATTCATACAGACGACCCCACTTAGTGGGATAAGGCTTTGTTGTTGTTGTTGTTGTATTATATGATTAGCCAGACCATTAAACTGGAAACCTCCCTTTGTAGAGAAAAATGTCCCTTGTAAAGTTATTTTAGTTTGAGATCTATGCCAGCCTGCTACACTGTGTGCAGCTTCTAAGTTAAGAGAAGAACAAGAAAACCAAAAACAGTAAAAGTAAACAAAGGATAAGATTAAGCATCTTTGTTTCAAATTAGTCGGGTGAATGCCACTAAATTTATTTGTTCAATGTGTCCAATACTTCAATACAGTCATTAGGATATTCTGTTATATTTCAGGTTTATCGCGGTTCATTACTAATCTAAGAGTAACCTTTATCAGTTTCTTTTTTGCTACACACACACACGCACGCACACTGCACACACACACACACACACACACACGCACACACACACACACACACACTGCACGCGCGCGCGCGCACACACAAACTGCACACACACACTGCACGCGTGCACACACACACACTGTATGTCATGTTTCCTGCCTGTGAATTTTAGTGAAGTGAATGACTATGCAAATAATATCAATATTGTCCAAGTCCTTGTTTTCAGAGATCATGTTTTTGCTTATGCCCTTCACAATGAAACATATCTTCTATTCAATTTTGCAATATATTTATATATATTTTACACACACAGAGAGACATGAATATGATGTTGAATTTCTAAGTTCCTACGATTGCTGATGTAAAAGTTGGAATCTGTTCTGGAAAGGAATTATTCTGTAACTATGTTTAATAGTTATCAAATGGAACATAGCCAAAGGAATTGCTTTAATGTCATTTTATGTTGTACATGATCATTTTATAAGCTAAATGAATACTTTGTAGGTCTAAGCCCCTTCCCACAAGTTGCAGTTGCCAGCTCTTTCCCAATTTGGTACAAATTAGTGCTGTGCTAGATTAGTGGATGTATGGTAGCAAGATATGGTAATAATATATATTGCAAGGTGACAGAGGAAAGAAGGTGAAGATTGTAACTACAGGTTAATTTTTCTTTTGGGTTCCCTATCTCCTTATATATCTCTATGTTTTTTTTTCTTTATCCTGATCTTTGCTGGTGTTGTACAAGTTACCCCTGCTTTGTTCTGAGGATTTTATTTCTTTTCGTTGGAGGAAATATAAATTATTGATAAGACATCAGAGATATGATATTAGATTTTGTTTATGCAACTGGATTCATGATCTAAATTATTCAGCCATATTTAGAATTATTATTTACATCCTCTACGGAGCTGGCGTTTCTCCAGTCCCTTTACAACTATGACTTATAGTTGGTATAAAAGTATTTTAACCGTTGTCTTAAAACACTTGCAGTCTCCCTGCAACACATATAAGGCTCGTGAATATAAAAGTAGCTCAGAACCTTTTTGGTTAAGGAACTTTCCCGCATGCCTTTAGGGCCTCTTCTCTTATATATTAACAGTAACACGTAGCAGCTGTCATGAGAAGGGTATTGCCTTTTGAAATATTCTTTGTCCAGGAGCAAGTATTGCCAAAGGGTCGTAAGCAGATTTTCTCTGCACAAAGTCTTCCCAGCGTGGGCCGAAGTGGGCCTTCCATTCTTCCTGTGTAGCGTAATGGGGTAGATATTGCTTGACCCCAAGCTGGGCTGTTTCGCAGAATTCTAAAATTCTTTGGTTTTGAGTTAAGATGTGTTCTAATCCATCAGTTACAGTTGACGAGGGAACTGCCGAGGTGAGGAATGCCACTAAGTAGAAAATATCTTCCTCCGGTATAACTACGGAAGTTCTGTTGTCCCACCTGAAAATAGATTTAAGAAATTAATCGTTTAGACAAGCTGTAGGGAATTTTGGTGATAACGACATATTTGATGTAACTGCTGCATACTTTGATCTGTTAGCTGGGTATATGAGGACAGGGCCGTTGCTTGTTTCTGTAAGGATATTGCCAAAAACTTCTTTAGCAAAAGTGTGAATTTTTCCTTTTGGTATAAGAAGATTGAGCCATGGGTGTGGAACGTCCCACAAATCCTTTGAGCGTAATTTGATCTCGGACACATGTACCCTGTCCAAGAAATCTATGTATGCAACTTCTGACAAGAATAGCGTTGAACGGATATAGCTTAATTGAGACAATGAGTTCTCAATCTCCTGCATGCCAGAAAGAGATGTATGATTGCGATGTTAGTTATACAGTCAAATTACAACTGAATTCGACCAAATCATTCAGAATTTCAAAATTAACAGGCTGCTGGTGGGCCATTGCATGACTCACCGCATCTATTATTTTGGTCTTGTCCAGGTTGAAATATTTGGCCAATTCTAGGCAGAAGAGAGTTTTTCCATCTGACTTAAACTGGCTGGCCTGAACTGGGTCCTTTGAATTGAAGGATGACCGCCAGTTGTTTAGCAGACCGGTCCTGTTTATTATCACGAATCCTTCAATGTAGTCAAATGTATTTTCTGCAGACATTAGATGCTCCTGATCTTGAGTAAATGCCGTGAAATCTGAATACAGGACTCTAATCCATTTTACCTGTACACAAAATGTAGATTTTGGTTAACAACTGGCACTTTGTACTCCAACTGGAAGCTTAACTTGTGACACATTAACCTCAATGATATATAGTTTTTACCCTTGCAGGTGCTGCTTCCAGCGATATTCTTGCCCGGGTTATGATGCCAAACTGACCGAGCCCCCCAAGAACACTATGAAATAGGTCTTCGTTCTGCTCCTCTGAACAATTTACAACCTCCCCTTTTCCTGCACTCATTTTTAGTTCATCTGTTAGTAAGAATTGATGTTATGTGCTTAGTAAACAAATTTCGTAGATATTCTTTTAAAGTTGTAGCCAGGGTATCTTTCATGAGACCAGGGTCAAAGTAATGACATGCTTCATGAGCAAGTCAGACCTTTGACGTTGGTCTTGTCTTCCATGTTGATATGTCACCATCACCATGGAAGCTTCCCTCCCCCGCGCGGGTTTAGTTTAAACAAACCTGTAACAACTTCCAGCTGGTGGACATTGCTGATCTGCGGGCCATGCCGGAATGCCTGCCCGCTTATCCCAGCATTAGACAGAGTACCACCGATAGTTAGATGCAAGTAGTCTGTCCATGATTTTGGCGCTAACCCATATTTCAAGCTTTCACGCAGGATATTTATCCACAATTCACCTCCAGAGGCATCCACGTATGGAGAACTTCCGGTGTGAATCTGGATTTGTGGAACCTTAAGTGATTCCATATTGATAACAACTCCTTGGTGGGCTTGTGACTGGCCCTGGAGTGAGTGACCATGGCCTCTAGCTGCAACTGTGAGCTCCGAACGAGGACCCAAGTCCCAAACATGCTTAACAATAGTGGCTATGTCTGAAACCGTCTTTGGATGCAGCACTGCCACAGGAAGGAACTGATATCTGTTGCCAAAATCTCTGGCTGCATGGTGAACTTCATGGAAGTTGAAATGCCCGTCTAGAGGAAGTGTTTTCAACGAAGGGGTGTTTGGAGAACAAAGGTTAGTTCTAATGGTTACACAGCTCATGAACAAGACCATGATGCATTCGATGATAAACACGTTCATTTGTTTGAGGAAGTAAACTGGTGGGTACCTCATTTTTTTTTTCCAGTTAGAAACGATGGAGGAAGGTGAAGGTGAAAGGAGTTTAATATTTGAGTTGTTTCTTAGTGAGAAAAGAGTAAAAGGCAAAGGAGAGGTGTACAAATGCCAAGGAAACAAATGGTTGAGGAGGGAATTTAAAGGGAAAAAAGGGTTTGGGTGGCAGTGGCCGAGTCAACCTGGCGTCTTCATCAGTTGTTAGAATCCGTATGAAGACTGCCTACTTTGAGTGGAAGAGTTTTAGGATTTTTTTTTAGTTCTTTTTGGGGTCTTTCTATATAAGAGAGAAGAGTTTTAGATTTTTCTTTTTTAGTTCTTCTTTTTGGGGTCCTTTGTTTATAGGAGAGAAGTCGTCATCACACACAACACATATGCCAAGTTGAAGGGAGAAAAAGTCACAGAGAAAGCAAGATTTTGCAAATCTTTGCACTTTTTTTTAACAGTAGCAACCACAATCCCACCTTTTTCCGTTCTCTAAACTTTTTTGATTTAATGTTAATGATTTTCTTGCATTTTACAGTAAAAATTATTGCTTCTACCTGGATGCATCGGATGACAGGTATGTATTCCGGTACCCCCCATATTCGTGTTTGTCGGTCACATGAATGATCGGATCAGATTCAGGGTTTGCGTCGTTGAATCCATATTGTTATCGTAATGTTAACGTCGCCATATCTAGTTGCATATCAGATGACGGAGACCGAAGCCTGCCTTCTGGCCGTGGTGGTGTTCATTTGAGATTGGGAGGGAGGAAAGTGATGGGTCCATGTGGCACGTGAAGTTGAAATGGTTTGTGCGTTTTGTGGGGTTGAAATGCTTTGATTTGTGTCTGTATTGGGACCCTTCTGGCTCACTTTGAACGGGCGAAGGAACACTACTCTTCTGCCCATCAACTGCTACTGCTAATATCAAGCCTCCCAGCAAATGGACAACTTTGAATGATTCTCTTGTTTGTATGTTTTATTCAGAAAATAATTTCCACAAATCTCTTTTCTCGTTCTGTACATTCTTGTTTATTTCTTCCTTCTCGTTAATTTATTCGGTCCACATGCCAAAAATAGACAGGGATGTGCATGGGATAAAAGCGGCATGTGGAAATTATTTTCCTTTTTCAGCTTTTTCTCTGCAACTTGTGTTTTTGAGCACCAATTGGAAATTTGCATCTCTATGGGGAGCAAGCAATATTCCATCTCCCCTTTCCCTATTTTACGGGCATATTAGTCCCACTTGTACAGATTGATAGATTACATTGTATCCCTTCATGAAAGTTTATGCCTTAATTAATTTTATTTTTTGGGGGAATTGTCTCTAATTCTCTGTACTAAACAAAATCAGTAGTCTTTTAGGCTTTAAGCTGTCTCCATATATAAGAGAAGATCTTGTACATTATGGGTGGCATCATGATTTTGTTCCGTAAGAGGACAATAACAGTGATTTTAATAACCTAATAATGAATTGGGAAAGTGGAATCTAACATCAACCAGTGAAATAGATGAATGTCAGATATTGTGTGCACTGAACATGATGATCCATGCTAAATCACAAGGTTTCACTTCTTTGGCTTGGAAGATTCTAACATTGCAAACAACCAAATCTTCTTGGGGGGCTATCATTTGTTTTGCAAGTGCTGGATTGCCCTAGTGGTTAGGACATTTCTCTCAAACCCGCACTTCGGGTTCCGATCATTCCCCTTTCCCTTAGTGTACTGTAAAATATCACTTGTAGTAAAAAAAAAAAAAAAATATTAAAAAACAAATCTTCTATAGGGTACATTGTTTTTGGAGAACTTTTTTAGGTCTAAGACACGATGTCAAACTCTTACGAGAGTGGATGCAAGATTCTGATATCGCAAACAATCAAATCTTTTTTAGGGTTTTGTATGTTATTTTCGAAAAAAATTATTTTCTGTGTCTGGCACACTGTCATAACTCTCACAAGAGCAGATGAAAAATTCTAACATCACAAGGAACCAAGTCTTTTTTAGGGCTACAACGCATGGACACGGACATTGTGACATCCCACATCGCTCAGGGGACTGATCCTTAAATGTATATTCTCATCCCTACCTAGCACGAGGCCTTTTAGGAGCTCACTGGCTTCGGGTTCCATGGGAACTCCGAAGTTAAGCGAGTAGCGCGCGAGAGCACTCCCATGATGGGTGACCCATCGGGAAGTTCTCGTGTGAGTTCCCAAAAACAAAACCGTGAGGGCGTGGTCGGGGCCCAAAGCGGACAATATCGTGCTACGGTGGTGGATCGGGCCCGGGTTGTGGTGGGGGCCCGGGCGGGGATGTGACAATTTGGTATCAGAGCCTATCCCTGGCCGGAAATGTGCCAATAAGGACGTCGGGCCCCTAAGGGGGGTGGATTGTGACATCCCACATCGCCCAGGGGACTGATCCTTAAATGTATATTCCCATCCCTACCTAGCACGAGGCCTTTTGGGAGCTCACTGGCTTCGGATTCCATAGGAACTCCGAAGTTAAGCGAGAAGGAGGCTAGAGCAATCCCATGATGGGTGACCTATTGGGAAGTTGCTCGTGAGTTCCCAAAAACAAAACCGTGAGGGAATGGTAAGCCCAAAGCGGACAATATCGTGCTACGGTGGTGGACCCGGCCCGGGAAGTAATCCGCCCCGGGCCGGAATGTGACAGACATGAGAAGACGACACGATAATAATTTAAATTAACAAGAACAATTATTGTATGACCACAAGGAAATACAACAAGGCACAGAGATACAAAGATTAACTGTGGTTGGAGATCGAACTATGGCTACACTTAAACAACTAATAAATAACATGTTGAACTACGAAAATATTCCTATGTATTCAATATTCTTACACACACACACAAAAAAAAAAAAAAAAATCTGATTTTTTAGTTTTTTTTTTTTTTTTCCTTTCTCATTTCTCATTTTTAAACACATTTTTAGTGATGTGGGTTGATGTTCCTCATGGTGTTAGTGAAAAGAACCATGGTACAATACAGTGTTAAGTTTGAGGACTAAAAAAATTACTATGAATTCAAGGTCTAAATTAAACTAGATGTAAGTTCAGGAACCATTGCTATGATTAAGCCTAGAATTTTTCATCTGCTCTTGTGAGAGTTTTGACAGTTTGCTAGACACAGAATAATTTTTTCAAAAACAAAATACAAAACTCTAAAGAAGATTTGATTGTTTGCAATATTAAAATCTTGCATCCACGGTTGTAAGAGTTTGACATAGTGTGACTCAAAGCCTATAAAAATGTTCTCCAAAAGCAAAATACCAGACCCTAAAGAAGAATTTTTTTAATAGTTTTATTTTGCTGAAAGTAATATTCTACAATAATCTACATTAAGTGAGATCAATCTAAGTGACCATGTCATCCAAAATGTGGTTTTATCGACGTTTGTGCGTTTAGGTCATGATTATGTCGTTTTGATTAGTACATTACAAAACCCTTTAAAGAATCTCTGTTGGTATCTTCTTCTAGCTACTAAAAGGCTTTCTCTCTATCGATCTTTTATCATTAAATATTTGGGGTTTTTAAAGTTAAGGTTTGCTTTTGACAAGTTCATTGGCAGCTGCCATTTTGTTATTAGTTTATGTATGCCATTAGAATTATTTTTTTCCTTAAAAGTTTTAGTATTAATATTTTCTTGTGGGAGTCTGACACAAAAAGTATTTTTTAAAATAAAAATTACCAAACCCTAAAGCTACCATACATGGACTTTGAAGTTGCATTGCATAATATGTACAAGTTGCTAAGTCTAACCATTTTCATTTTGTATTTTTATAGTTCAAATTTTAATTTGTTTTAAGTTTTAGATATTAATTTATAAAATTCATTGTTTTTTAGCTTCATTTTTTCTTCTTTGAAGTTTTAAGTTGAAGATGACTAATAGAAAAAAGATAAAAGAAGAAAAAAAAGACGGTTTTTGTGAAAATGACTAATAGGGTAACAAAGAAACCAATATAAGAGTTCATGGACAAAAATTCAATTAAGGATAAAATTTAAGGACCACTGCTACAATTAAGTCAAAATTCTCGCAAAAGAACCAAGTCTTCTTTAGGGTTCGGACAATTTTCCTTTTGGAACATACTCTTTTGTGTCGGACTCCCACAAGAGAATATAAAAACTAATGGCATACATAATTTAACTAACAAGAAAGTGGCAGCTGCCAATTAACTTGTCAAAAGCAAATCTCAACTTTAACAAACCCTAAATATTTAAGGATAAAAGATCGATAGAGAAACCATTTTAGTAGCTAGAAGAAGATACCAGGTGAGAATCTGTTAGAGGGTATTGTAATGTACTGATGAAAACGACATAATTATGGCCTAAACGCCAACAAACATCGATAAAAAAAACCACATTTCGGACGACATAGTCACATAGGTTGGCCTCACTCTCATGCAAGTGTCCAAATCAGCAAACACAAATCTTTGTTAGGATTAAAAAATTAAGATTGCTGTAATAATTTGATAAAGATAATGCAAGTCTAGTGCTTGTGGCATGCTTACCAAGTGTTAACTCTTTGTGATGTAGTCCTCTCATTTGTGGATTTGTGCTGAAAAACCTAATCCTTTATAATTGCATGCTTTCTGGAAGGATTTGTAATGTGGGGATAGCCCTAATGCGCATATCATGAGGACCCCATTGTGGGGTTTTCTTGTCCGTCCGATGCTTTTTTAACAAAATATTGCAACGTGTTTCAACTTAATTTAGCAGTGGAAACTAATGTTCAGTACAATCACTACACGTGTCGTAATAGAGGTCCAAGGGCGGCTATAAAGAGGGTCCCCTACTTAATTACTTTCCATGGTCAATTTGTCATGTCCATGTTCATGAAAAATTGTTTAGAGAAATCACATTCTTAAGGCACAGAGGTGAACCAATTCATTTTATAAAATGAGAATACATGTTTTTATCATTACGATCTAGTAATATTTATTTACATTAAGAAGTCTCATATTCGATTTATACAAATGACAAATTTGATACTTAATTACATTAGTAGACTCGTTCTATAGCTTACTCATATATTATTTCCCTCAAAGTGAAATACCGTTGTATGCAAAAATAGAGATATATACTTTCTGCATAATTAATAAAACACTATTAACCATGACATAGGAAATGAAAACTATATCTCTGTATTATGAAATAATTTTGATGTCTGTTTGGTAATCTTTTTATTTTACGTTAAATATTGAAGAAAAATAGTTGGGATAAACGAGGGAAAAGAGTGGAAAGAGCGGATGATAGAGAAATGGACAATGAATAAAATTAAAGCTTAGTAATGAAAACAACTTAAAATTGTGTTTAGGTTTTAGTTTTCACTTTATGTAGCATTTCATATACATATTTCTCTACCATTTTTCCGAACACTTCTCAATCATGCATTTCTCCAATATATTTCCTCTGTCTTTAATAACGCATTTACCTATTTAGGGGTTGTAAACTGTCACACCACTTTGCATATGCAATGACGTTGTGATTCTTACCCAAATTATTTAACTAGCTACTAATTCACATTTCATGTACAACCTAATGCGATGATACTAATCTATTACTATATATACTTTAAGTTACGATATTAGCATCCTAAAAAAGTCATTTTTATAATGAAAGAGCTACAATCCAACAAAGCATTCAAAATTGGGGTTTTTTGAAATGGGTCCCAAGTAACTAAAAATTGGACCTATTTCAAAAGTCAAAAATCACTAAAAATTGGACCTATTTCAAAAGGTAGTCTATAAAATTGGACCTATTTCAAATTTTCCCTTCAAAATTACACAATACCTAGGCCTAAAGACCCCCATAATATCTTCTTGCATCAGACGTCCTACACCAGCAGAAGGAGTTTCAAAAGCATAGCAGCCAAAATTCAATTGGACCAATCTCAGCAAGTTTATCAACGATAAAATTATATTCTCCATTAAAATGATGAATCTAAAATAATTATTTTGCACTATTAGCAAGTGTATTTTTCCTTTTACATTTCTACATATTTAGAGTTCAGAACAACTTTTTAGAGTGACTAATAACTCCAGACATAAAACAAATTACACTGCACGTCAGTGGTATCTTAAATCTTAGTGCAATAAGTTTAGTGTATCTTTAACATTAAGATGATTACACAACCAAGTTCAATCCAGATCATTCGATTGGCTCGTTGGAAATGAAAATCCCCGAATCATAAAGTAGCAAGTGGGT